GGGCGTGCCGTTGACCCACAGGGAGATTTTCACACTGCTGAAGCCGCTCTGTTCCACTGGCCCCTGTACCTCCCAGTCGTGGGGAAAGGCCAAAGGGCATTTGTAAACTAGCTTATAATATAAATACCATCCATGTCCGGGTGTTGTAATTACCCATTTTATTATCTGGGGGCTTTGTGCTCATCCCCTGGGGGAGAGAAGTCAGCTGTGAAAGCAGGATTGTGTTACACTGGAGCTCATTAAGTGGAAACAATGACCACACTTTTCATTAAAGACAAATACAACTATATTACAACAGGAGTTTCAATTCTTGCTTTTATATGTTCACATTCTACTGCCTTGCTTGTAGAATGTGAACATATCAAAGCAAGAATTATGTTTTGTTCTATTACATTTTTTCTAACATCCACAATATTAGATTCATGGTTTTGGATTGCATTAGGGCTGCAACAACAAGCCATTTTGGTATTTCAATATTCTTTCGATTAAAGCTGGGGTACCTAACTTTCAAGCCACATATCTAACGGCCATTCACACCGAGACGCTGTGACAGTAGAGTTGTGTATTTGTTTGACCTTTCGTTCGCACAGAGACGGTGTTAAAGGTGTGAATTCTCTGCTGCTCTGTCCTCAGCACTTCCCTCACGTACATTTGGAAATGTGCAGGGGCCGAGAACAAACGTAAGCAACAATGGTGGCGTGTACGCTAACTAGCTACGTGTGCTTCGAGCGCTACATAGAGGAGAATTCTACTCCTTCGTCAAAACTAAACCACTCATATCTTTAGTTTCAGTTTCCATGTTTACAGCTGCAGTTAAATGCAGAAGGATGTTGGTTTTTTCACCTCTTTGCCGTGGCCTGAGGAGGATGTTGATGAGGAAGTGTTTATACTGCTGGGGGTCGCGTGTGTCGAGTTGTAAAGTTCCACTGCCCCCTACTGGCTTGGCGCTAGAACTGCATGGTTTTCCGTCATTGTGTAGACGCTGTGCACTTCGAATACGGAGCCTGGTCCTTTTTGCAAATTCGTCTCTGCAAAGTCTCTGTCTAAACGGGGCCTACTACATCTTACTAGTTACTATCTCTCAATGCATGCATGTGCTTTTGGCCTCTGTCACATTTTTAGACTAAGTTTTTCAGACAGAAAAGTGAGGGGGAAGTGACTCACAAGGCTCTTTTTGTTTGACATAAAAGATCAAATGTTTTCTATTCAGATAGACGTGACAACATGGGGTGTTACCAGAATGTTGCTAGAGTCTGTGTGACAAAATGTATCATTTATGGGTTAAACAAAAGAATATCTGTTCAGGTTGTGGCAGATAAAGCTGACAATACAACTTGAGGAAATGCCAAAGTTTCTCAACAAAAGTGTTACATGTTTGTGTGTCATTTCCATTGAATTCACAGCTTTGAATTCAATGGAAATGATTTATGAATGAGTTGTAAATGGAATTAATAATCAATTCAACCATTCATTCATTCATTTTGTCTGTTATTTTGTTTTGTAAAAATGTGTTGTAGATGTTTTAAAATTATCTTAATGATTGAAAAATAAAAATGGCTGCTGTTCCTGCTGCATGTCTACCTCTACCCACGCTGGTTAAATATATCTGCGTCGGATTTCTATTGGAACTAGTACTACTTTATGAAGTCATTCTGTGCCTGGTCTGGTCCCACAGGCGCAGTTAGACGTCAGCTGTTTGTTTTAGGGGGAAAAAGGGCTCCCACACTGATTTCTTCCACAGCTGTTCGATTCATAACGATTGAATGCGCACTGCGATCCTCATTGGCCGACGGCGGCGCAGAGGAGATTAAGCAAGTCCCAAAACTAACAAGGCATTATCATCACTACACAACAATTGCACAATGTTTTTATCAAGAGCTGCAATATAAAAATAAAAAAAACATGTTGTACTTTAACTGGGATGAGGTAAAAGCATTCGACTGTTTACGAATTACAGCTATAATAATATTGATGTGTAAATGTGCAATTCGAGACAAAGTATAATTAAGTAAGTACAGTGCCTTGCGAAAGTATTCGGCCCCCTTGAACCTTTCAACATTTCGCCACATTTCAGGCTTCAAACATAAAGATTTAACATTTTTATTTTTTGTCATGAATCAACAACAAGTGGGACACAATCGTGAAGTGGAACAAAATTTATTGGATAATTTAAACTTTTTTAACAAATAAAAAACTAAAAAGTGGGGCGTGCACTTTACTTTCAGTGCAGCAAACTTAGTCCAGAAGTTCAGTGAGGATCTTTGAATGATCCAATGTTGTCCTAAATGACTGATGATGATAAATAGAATGCACCTGTGTGTAATCAAGTCTCCGTATAAATGCACAGCTCTTTGATAGTCTCAGGGTTCTGTTTAAAGCGCAGAGAGAACCATGAAGACAAAGGAACACACCAGGCAGGTCCGAGATACTGTTGTGGAGAAGTTTAAAGCCGGATTTGGATACAAAAAGATTTCCCAAGCTTTAAACATCTCAAGGAGCACTGTGCAAGCAATTATATTGAAATCGAAGGAGTATCAGACCACTGCAAATCTACCAAGACCCGGCCGTCCCTCCAAACTTTCAACTCAAACAAGGAGAAGACTGATCAGAGATGCAGCCAAGAGGCCCGTGATCACTCTGGATGAACTGCAGATAACTACAGCTGAGGTGGGAGAGTCTGTCCATAGGACAACAATCAGTCGTGCACTGCACAAATCTGGCCTTTATGGAAGAGTGGCAAGAAGAAAGCCATTTCTCAAAGATATCCATAAAAAGTCTCGTTTAAAGTTTGCCACAAGCCACCTGGGAGACACACCAAACATGTGGAAGAAGGTGCTCTGGTCAGATGAAACCAAAATCAAACTTTTTGGCCACAATGCAAAACGATATGTTTGGCGTAAAAGCAACACAGCTCATCACCCTGAACACACCATCCCCACTGTCAAACATGGTGGTGGCAGCATCATGGTTTGGGCCTGCTTTTCTTCAGCAGGGACAGGGAAGATGGCAAAATTGATGGGAAGATGGATGGAGCCAAATACAGGACCATTCTGGAAGAAAACCTGTTGGAGTCTGCAAAAGACCTGAGACTGGGACGGAGATTTATCTTCCAACAAGACAATGATCCAAAACATAAAGCCAAATCTACAATGGAATGGTTCACAAATAGACGTATCCAGGTGTTAGAATGGCCAAGTCAAAGTCCAGACCTGAATCCAATCGAGAATCTGTGGAAAGAGCTGAAGACTGCTGTTCACAAACGCTCTCCATCCAACCTCACTGAGCTCGAGCTGTTTTGCAAGGAAGAATGGGAAAGAATTCCAGTCTCTCGATGTGCAAAACTGATAGAGACATACCCCAAGCGACTTGCAGCTGTAATTGCAGCAAAAGGTGGCGCTACAAAGTATCAGCGCAAGGGGGCCGAACAATATTGCACGCCCCACTTTTCAGTTTTTTATTTGTTCAAAAGGTTTAAATTATCCAATAAATTTTGTTCCACTTCACAATTGTGTCCCACTTGTTGTTGATTCTTGACAAAAAATTTAATTTTTATATCTTTATGTTTGAAGCCTGAAATGTGGTGAAATGTTGAAAGGTTCGAATACTTTCACAAGGCACTGTAAGTAAGTAAGTAATCTTTATATATATATAGCGCCTTTCACAGAGTCACAAAGCACTTTACAATTATTTTGGGCATTTGTCTCTCACTCCGCAGTATAAGAACTAGACCTGACATTACAGTAGATTACAATACATTACATTTGATCAGACTTAAACCAGGACTAAAATTCAAAAAGGACAAAACACAAAACATAGCTTCTGCAAATAAGAAAATGCCCTGCTTTTAATCACTTAAGAATTTTAGAACGCATGGGGTTCATCTCTTGTTCGTAAGTCTTCTCACTTGCTGATGAAGTTGCTTGCACAGAATATTGCGATTGAAATAATCCTTTAGAATATAATTACATAAATGGATTATTTTTCCAAATTGGGCAAGCACGGAGCCAAACTGGGATTAACTTCAGGACAAATCTTCCACTTGACAAGAGCCACAAGAAGACCAAACCAAGTCTGGACCATAATCCTTGGAAAGAGGGTGTAAGGACAGGGGATGCACATTGGTTATGAGCTTGTCTTTAGACCAATGACTGTTTGAATTGTTTTAATGTATAACTTAAATATTGATGCATTAACACAGATGTTGATGTGATTTAATGAGACGTTTTATCATGCAATTATGTTTACAACAGTCTATGGATGAGTCAGAGACTTTCCACAAACGTATCTATTGGCCACGGGACAGCGGCTGTGGGAGCTGTCCTGGGAATGAAACTATGAAAACTGATTGTGTCATTTAAACTGTGTAACAACAACAAAACAGATATTCTGCAGAGACACAACCCCAGACCCCCGCAAAATGTGTCTATTTTAAAAATACTTTCACTTTTTTTAGTTTCAATAGTATTATTTGTCACCCTGAGTATATCATTGCATCTAATGTCCACACCTTAGACTAAATGAATATCTTAGGTAGGCTTATATTTCTTTTCTTCTTTTGTTCTTTATAGAAATAGAGATTCTTCTACCAGACAATAGTAAGTTAGCAGGTAAGATAAGATAAGATAGTATAGACTTTATTGATCCCACACTGGAGAAATTTACATGTCACATTTGGCATGGATGGAATCACTCAGATTGTGCAAAAGACAGAAGTGTGTAAACATGCTAAAGATTAAAATTATAGTGTGTGCAGGATATAATTATGTACAATAAAAAGTGGCAATAAAACAAAGTGGCAAGTGGCAGTGCAGGTTTTTTCAGTCCTAGTGCATTAGTGTCTTAAAGTGACTTATTGTACAGTCTGACAGCAGTATCCCCACCGTAAGGTAAGGTAACACCATCACTAACCTCCTCTTCTCTGGTATAGAAACTTTATAACTGTGAATGCAATCTCAGCACTGGGCTAGTTCCAGTCCAGGCCTCCTCCACAGCGATCTTACCTCATGCTGGCTGACACAGTTGGTGCTGGTGTAATCGATGATGCATCTCCCCAGCCACTCGTCAGGCCTCGCGCTCAGAATGTCATTCCTGCAGTTCTCCAGAAAGGGCTGCAGTTTGAGCAGCAGCGACCGGGACAGGAGGAACCCGTATCCCCCATGGCAATACTTCCCCTCCATCTCTCCGCCTATGAACTCCGCGGGACGTCCCATGTACAGCTGCCGGTCCATACTGAGGTGCTCCACCAGCTCCTTGACGCGGCCCGCTTCCACATACGCGTCGTCTTGCACCAGATAAAACCAATCGAACTCGCCGATGTAATGTTCGAGGATGTATTTCACGGTTTGGTACATGTTCCAGATTTGCCTCTCGTCTCCGTGGGATACGACGAACATTCCGTGGGGGACTTTGCGATTCCGCGTCCCGGTGAAGAAGATGACGAGGTCCAGGTGGTGGCTGATGGTGCGGTTCAGGGCCACCGCCAAAGTGCTCAGGCTGTTTTTGGAAGTGAGGACTCCGACAAATAAGCGCTCGCGAATGCCCAGCTCGGTGCTCACGTATTTGGCCCTGAAAGATACACACATAAAGCAATGATTAAATAATAGTCAAAAGTAAAGGACATTTTGGGAATTGTTTTGTTGCTTGTTTAAAGAGTCTGGGCTTTGTCTTGTCCACTATATGTATTATCTATTGGTGCTTTCATACTGCTGACACCAGTGGAAAGGCTGTGTCCACACAAGACAGTGGGAAAGCTTGACGTGTTGTTTGGACCCGTGACGGCTTTTCTCCACAGGGAAGGCAGGGAACGGGTCAAAATAAAAGCATCAACATTTCCGACTTTTAAAGTAAGTCACAGCGCGGTATCCAGGACCAAAGGGAACTGCATTTTATCTACAACAGCAAGATGGTTATGGATGTGGAAGAAAAAAATATTTTCGAACAAGGACAATTTTATAAAAACCCCAAGTTATGCTTATTTTTTAGGGTGTCATTATGCAAAGTATTGTCTCTCCTTTGACCTTCTTCATTTAACCAAGATGTGAGAAACAGTGTAAAAACATGTTGCTTTTATTACAGCTTTTTTTGTTCATACTGAGCACACCTCAGCAAAAATACTGCGAGGAGAGTTACATTTCTAGTGGTTTTCAAAAACGCCAGGTTTTTTTTGCAGTGCGAATGAGCTTACCGTCAGCCATGAACCTTTACCATACATTATGACCATTCAAAATATCAATATTGATCTGAATGACCCTAAAAAATATCCTTTTCTCCTGATTGCCAAATGAAAACTTGCTCTGCTGTTACGTGTCTGCATCTTTATGATACATCACTCTAAATAGAATAGAAAGTTAAACAATACAACACAGTGCCAACATAGCAGTTCAAGTCTTTCTTCCAAACGTGCCAAAATGCTTCAGAATCATCTCAGTCCAACAATACGAACGATGAGTGGTGGTGAAATCGGGGCTTGTGGGTGAAATGGTATGAATGAGGGAACGTTTAAATTACTCAACCATGCATGAATCACTCTAAAAACAAGTTTGAGTGAGCAAAGCAGGAAAACTATTGTAACAGCGTGGCTAAAAACTTTCACTATAGCATTGCAGGGCAAGGAGTTTTTATAGCCAAGCAAATAGCCTCAAAACCTGCTTTCTTATTGTGAGAATGAGCAGTGGTACTTTTATAATACATATAACACTGTGCTCTAGGAGTGTGACGATATATTGATATGGTGATGTATCGTGATACTTTCTCACGCGATCGATTATTGATATGCTTTTGCCAAGTATCGATTTAAATCTTTTTCTTTTTTTTATTATCATCAATACTTAATATATGGCTACATTACACATCTTGTAATAATCTGCTTTGACCTGAACAATCTATCAGCTGACCTTGCTGCCAACAGACCATATGTGTTGTATTTGAATCCAGAGTTGAGAATTAGTTAATGACTTACACTTATAAGTATTTTGTGTTTATTCAGATTGCTCTACTAAAAGATTCCTATAACAGGATATTTCTGACCAATGTATCGATAATCGTCATATCGTGATATAATCGTTATCGTGAGCTTTGTATCGCGTATCGTACCCTGAGGTTCCCACCCCTCTGTGCCCAGACATGACTTATGTTTATGTTTCCCATTGATTGCACCACAAAGCTCCATCATTTCAATCAAGAAAACTTCACTTAAGTCTGATTACGATGATAGAAACTAAACAGTGTGTGACTAATCCCATAACTACAACACAAAAAACAGTCATTTCACTAAAACAAAATGCCAGACAGTAATACATTTGTTAGTTCATCTCAATAGTTTTCTCTCCGGTCAAACACGTAAAATATGTCTCTCTCCAGAATGCCTTACATAGTCCGTCCGCTTCAAGGTAACCATCATTTTCCCAGGAGCCACGTACAATGACACCACTGGGCCGACGTTGGGAATGACTGGACTGGAAAATACAGCTTATCCAACTGACTCAGATATACAGCACTATGCAAGTGGATCAGAAAGGTCTGTCTTGTCTCTTTCAGTAGATTAGATTAGTCGGCTTCTATCTCGCTCCCTAAACATTTCTTATGAAGTTGTGTTTTATTGTTTACTCCCAGAGATTGCCTTATCATTCGTAATCTCCTACAAACAATACTAACTCTGTTTATTTTCCCACGCGCATCTTTTGTGCTTGTGTGAAGTCATGAATAATCAAATAAGCTGTTTTCTGTTTAAAATGGGCGGTTCGTGCAAGGTGGTCCTGAAATTAACAATAAGAGAGGATAAAGAACCACATCCACAGCTAACATGTTTGCACATTTCTTTCTATGCACAAATCTTGAGTGATTCCACCCATGCCAGATGTGACATGTGTGAGATCAATAACGTCTATCTTATCTTAAAAGGGGAAACCACACACTTCAGGGGATGGAGACTTCTAATCAAGGTCAGAAGAGTAGTTTCTGTTGATATTTTCATTTGTAAAAAGTTATTTAACCGGAAAAGGCTTCCCACAACCATGAGCAATGTGTGAAAAAAAATGTTTGTTTCACAATATGGCCATCAAATCAACATTTCTGCCTACGTGTGTAAACAGCCCAAGCAACAAGCAGCGTCGTGACCAGGGCAGTTCCATAGTGCACCTGTATTTGGTTTAAATATTTATAAATATTTGTTTAAATCATCTGGATAACTTACTCTGGATAGAGCTGGAACAAATGAGTTATTGTGGATTAGTAGCAGAGGTATTCCAGAGTGGCTTCGTCCAATCTCTGTTCCAATAGTATTTTTCAATTTTCTTCTGTATATTATTTGTTTTACGTTATGCAGCATGAAAAAATCTAAGTTTCAAATAAATATGTACTTACTTACAAGGAAATGTAGTATTTTAGTACATGTTATATATTTTTAGTGATCTAAACTTTGCTTCACCTTTGGTTTGTCCCAGAACGTACGTAATAAAAATGATGTACGAGAATGTCCAGTGTACTTTTCCATTATTATTTGACGTAGAGCTAATGGTAGGTTTGCTTTGTTTGAAGTGTCGTTCCCACGTGGTCACCAGCTGATACCTGCAGGTCAACACCTGGTAACGGGCACTAACAGAGCACTGATTTATTATCAGTCCCTCCTAAGTGAAGGGACTGAAGAGGCAGGCGTGGTGCTCTATGGGTTACTGTAATCTGCTCCAGAAATAGTCCCCAAGACACAACTTCTATTGATGCTTTCCATGGAGATAATTCAGCAGAGATGCCCATATGTAGACATGTCTGTAAATTCTTTCCATAGACATCTCATTGAAGATCATAGAGCAGCTTTGACGTGACTAATTACAAAGCATTTTCTAATAAAACAAGTAGTGATAGACTGACTATTTTTGTCTGGCAACTTGTGTGCGTAATGTCCATGCGTAAAAGTTGTCATTGTGAAGGTTCTACACACCTGATCAGTTTCTTTGGCGGACTCTGCGGCTGGATTTGCTTGTATGGGATGATTTTTGGCTCAAAGTCCTCCTCTGACTCCACATCGTTGCTGCTGCCCGCTAAGGAGTTGGGTTTCCTTGCCCCACTAAGCAGCGTGTCTGGTCCCAGACTGCCATCCTCCATATGCGAGTCTCCCAGGTAGCACGTCTCCTCCGTCCAACTCACACTCAACAAACTCAACGTAAACCCCAAAGAAATGCCGATCACCACCGGGCCCAGTGACCGCAGGACAGTAATAAGCGCCGAAAATCTCATGTTGTGCCCGGGCTGGCTGTCTGTCCCCAGTCCCGGTGCGAAGCTTCCCAGAATAGGCAACAGTCCGCCTGCGCGCGCCTCTACATCAAGTCTGCAATGAAGCAATCATTTCCACACTGGAGTTGAGGAAAGTTATCAGCTCCTTCCTTATAATTTACGCAGTTTGTTACGTGTCAGTCGAGCAGCTACCTGACTCCTCCTCCTCCAAAGCCAGGGCAGCGCGCACAGTCACAGACCCCAGTGCGCAGACAGAGGAGGCGGGCGGGCTTCGTGCGCTTCAGCCAAACAGCGCACGCAGAGCAGGGTCCAGGGGCGGGACGTGTTTAATCACACGCGCTGCTGTCTCGAGGAATCTGGATGTAGGGCACTAAACTAAATCCACAGATGCTACTGCAGCTACTGGGACAGGCAAAGGCTGAGTGTGCAGTGCAAATGAGCCATGTTACCGCCTGTAGCTCTGCTTTTAAATCATGGTGGTAAAAGTCAACTCTGCATACAGACCTATATGTGCTGCATGTATTGTCAACAATTCATTGATGATTGAAATGTGTAATACATTATTAATCAATCAATCATTCACATGTACACAATACAATACAATACAATTTATTCTTGTATAGCCCTAGGTCAGAGGACTTAACAAAACCATTGAAATCACCAACACAGGTCAGAGAATCAACAGTTAAAACACATGAAGAATATAAAGCACACACAGAAGAAAATGTCCATACATGTTGTAGAATGCTAAAGTGTCCTGATCATCACCAATCTTTTCTGTTGGACACTAACTGTCCAACAAGACCCTCCTGCATCGACAAGGAAAAACTCTTAAAAAACCCAGTGGGAAAAAGTGAGAAACCTTGGGGAGAACTAGGGAAACCCACAGGGAGGGAGACCCATTTGATGTATTTATTAAGCACAAATATCTCCTTTATCTTTTATTATCTCCTTCTTACCCTGCCCTGTGCTGTAAGTATATAACTTAGCACCATATTGATATTTTGAAAGATTTATATTGAAGTATTTACAGCTATAGCTACGAAACATAGAAGCTACTTGTTTTCTACATTTTGTGTGCTCCTTGTGTGCTCTTACTGCTGTCCTGTACATGCGCTGCAACACTGAAATGTCCCCACTGTGGGACAAACAAAGGATCTATTATCTATCTAAACATCTGTTGCGTTTAACTATATATAAAACTTCATGTTTTAAATAAGAAGGCATTCCCATAGAATATGCACATACCTTGAGTAACTTTGGTATAACGAATGCAGTACCAATGACACTACTGAGTTACTTCAAAAAGTAATATATATACTTATATATCTACATGTATATATTTTTTGACTGGTATTGAAGCATTTTCAGCATCTATAGCTAGTTATGTTAGTTAAGAAACACAGCTACTACTTATTTGTATATAGTGTATATATTGTGTGCTCCCTGTGTGCTCTTACTACTGTCCTGTCTGTGCGCTGCAACATGAACATTTCCCCACTGTGGGACGAATAAAGGAACTCTTATCTTATCTTATTCTAACCATAGTTCTTCCCAAAGCTGATCAGAAACATTTTATCTTGGAAACTATTCATGAGTGCAAAAAATGTGCAAATAGGTGCACTGAAATTGATCAGACGTGCACATACCTTTATGGATAATGTCGTTAGACTTGATCCTCCGTGTCACATGATCACAAATGTAGACGCACTGGACTGTTCTTATCTTACAGTAAGCTGTGCACCACTTTAACTATACGCCTCATTGGATCCCCACAACATTTTAAAGATAAAAAGGAAATTAAAAAATTTCTATATTGTTGATTTTGTTTGTATCTTGGATGTTTCTTTTGGGTTTTTCTTTTTTTGCACAAACATTGAGAAACATGGGTGAGCGTATGTCACAAACTTCGCTCACACTTGCCCTGCTGAAGGCCCTCCTTCTGTTTTCTTACATGGAAATTATCAAGTTCTTTTGGTTATAATCTCCCACAGAAGGGCAACAATAGAACATGAAGTTAGTTTATGTGTTTACAGATAATACAAGTGCCATAGACCACATCCATAAATGTTCTGTCCATGGTAAATGAAGTATGAGGTGATAATTCCTCAGTTTGTTAGCCTGAGCAGCCAGAAGCACACAATTTAACAACATTGATTTCATGTGTCTAAATGTAGAAAGAACATTATGTTGTCTACTTAGTTAGATATAAAGAGTAAGCCTAAAATAAACTTGTCATAACCACATATATATAACCCTTTTTGAAATTGTCAGTATTGATTTATGACATCCAAACTATTATTCCAGCCTCGTTCTGAATAAGACCCCTGTTGAGAAGGAGATCATGGAGTATATACATTCAGATAAAAAAAAATAAAAAAAGAGTCCTATACTGACAGGTTTTAATTTATTCATTACAACTTTATAGATGCTTTATAGGTGACAGTTCCTGGGGTCACATTTGCTCGTGTTGCTGCAGACAAAATAGATGTGTGAATGCCTAATTACTCCACAGCTATGGCCAGAACAAACAAAGCTAATCTGTGCCCTCTTGTGGTAACTGACAACTGAACATTTTTCATCTGATTACGGTTGTGAAAATGACGGTCAAGAAAATCCACAGTCCAAATGTCATCACATGAAATGGCTTCAGATATTACTTTATAGATAAGTGACTTACACAATAGAGTGGCAAAAATCTTTTAACTTTTTAATATTTTGTTAAGGCAATATGTATTTGTTCTGTTATTTTTTATTTATTTTATTGTCTGTTTTTATAAATACATTTACTCATTTTATGATAAGACGAGGACTGCATTTTGTGGTCTGATTTGTTCACAAACAATTTACAAAAACCACTCAGGACAGACAGTTTAAGCAGGACCTTTACAGGATTTCAAGGCTATACCTTTCCTAGTCTTGCTTCGTAAATACATTTTTTTATATTCTGTCAAGAGCTTTGTGTTACATCTTTTGTATGAAAGATGATTGATTGATTGATTGATTAAAAAGTGACTCAAAGTAGTGTTATCCAGTCACATTTTTAAAACAGCAATTATACACAATACAAACATTGTACATTCTAATCCCACACTCCTGTAGCTAGTATTATAAATGAATAACAATTTAGGAAAAACTATCCAACTCTTTGGGAGTCAAAACGACCAAAAAACAAACACATGTTTAAATTAGTGGTATAATAAAACTGTTTTGAATAGTTACATGTTTTTAATGGTTCTAAAGTGTTTAAGTCAGGTGTCTCCAACCTTTTTCATGCAGAGAGCCACTTTGCTGGGACAATAAAGGCAGAGAGCTACTCCTTTAAGCGGCATTGGGAAAGAAATTGGTGATATTTTGGTGTGAACGAGCCTGATATTGGGTACAGTCATTATCTATCTTGGCATATTTGTTACTATAGTGACAAAGTAAGTGGATTTACACTACACAAATTATGATAATGAATTATAAAATCTGAAATATTAAGTATTTTATTTGATGTGTTCATTTCTAATTCCTTTGGCGAGCAACCTGGAATGGGGTGGCGAGCTACTGGTGGTGACTCCCGAGCTACAGGTTGGAGACCCCTGGTTTAAGCATGGATCTATTACAGGGGTCTCCAATCTCTAGCTCGGGAGTCACCAGTAGCTTGCCAGCCCCTTACAAGTAGCTCGCCAAAGGAATTAGAATTTAACAAATACACTTCAACAAATACTTTTTGACCCATTACATGAGTCATAAGTATAAATACAGGGTTACACAGTATTAGTAGTAATCTTTATTTATATACTGCCTTTTTCACTGCACATCGGAGTCTCAAAGTGGTTTACAATTGTTATTTTTGGGAGTGGGGGTGCCAGTACAGGAGGCACATGCCAGACCTATTGAACATATTTTTAGTGGTAGGGGAAACCGGAGCACCCGGAGGAAACCTACGCAGACACAGAGAGAACATGCAAACTCCACTCAGAAAGGCCCTGGTCCAACCGGGATTCGAACCCAGGACCTTCTTGCTGAGAGGCAAGAGTGCTATCCACTCAGCCACCGTGCCGGCCTATTTTATATGTGTTCTATGAGTTTGGTCGTAATTATTAGATCGACTTTTATTACGACTGCAAAAATGAGTAGCTCTCTGCCTGTTTGTTTGTATAAAAGTAGCTCTCTGATTGAAAAAGGTTGGAGACCCTTGATCTATTATATTAACGGGTTTATGTGTATCCAGTCGTTTTTTCTCCCACGCTGCCCGTGTCCTTGAACGCAGCACAGCCTTAGTCGTCCTGGGATGTGCCTGCTCGTAAAAGGCGCAAATGTCATCGCTGGTCCGTCTCGTCTTCTCCCGCTGTCCTTCACTGCGGGACTTCCTCTTGGATCACACATGCCTCTTATCCGCGCGTCACGACCACTCAGCGCGATCCACATCCTAACGCACACATCTGAGTGCTTTTTGGGTTGAAATTCTTGCTGTTTACCCGTGGGAAAGACGCGCAAATGGAGTGCCGTGTGCTGTCCATTCAGAGTCACGTTGTCAGAGGATACGTGGGGAACAAGTCTGCGACCTTCCCACTGCAGGTAAACAAACTAATAATAATGCATTCTGTGTTTGCATGTTTTGCAGATATGACTTGGGGATTACAATTACCCGGGTATAATAACTACTTCTCTTCATTTTGGTCTGGAAACAACGGAAGTACAAGCGTGGTGAAGCAGCCGTGTGTAGTAACCATAGACTGTATGTAGTAACATGTGAATACCTTACATCATTATGCATATACATTAATATTATTATTTTTTTGTTCCATATTTTTTCTTCTACTTAAAGGCTCATTCAAGAAACCATGTTAGTCAGCTGATAAAAGTACATAACTTTCTTTCTGCTGAAATATTTACATTTATACATATATTTCATGTATGTATTAACATGTTACAGGGAGAAAGCCTATTTTGATCATTTATTCTACTGCCTAGTAAACAGAATTGACCCAAAAACTATCAAAGAACCATCTCAGCATTGCTTCCCATAAAATACTGTCAAATCTCCACATCTGTAAATGCTATGCTAAAAAATCGTGGTAATTTTTGCACAAATAAACATGTTTTCTTTGACTGTTTGCAGGTTTTGGGCTTTGAAGTGGACTCGATCAACTCTGTGCAGTTTTCCAACCACACAGGTACATCACTGCGCCCGGAGAAGATTATTAACCTCACAGCTCAACAAGGGCCTCTTACAATTGGTCTAAAGTTCATTGTGATCAATTTGTGGTTTTCAAACTACTTTCAAATCTGCGCTTTTACAGGCTGTTCTTTTCATCACCGTTCAGTTTGGACGGTCAAAGTTAGACAGGTCATTGCAAAGTGTCCCATTTCATTCCAAATAATGACATGCCTTTTAATCAAATTGTCCAAATTGCTAGCCGCATGTCTCCACTTTCACTCCCTTGCTGATACCTTCATGTGTCATTGGGTTGTGAGTTAAAAATGCCGGTGATTATTGTAGAAACATTGATATATTTGACACGCAACATGAGCCGCTGAAGCAGAACAAACAGATTTTCTTGGCCACAGATGCAGGACTTACTCTGTGTGGATAAACAGACACTCACACAATGCTCTGGTCTGTCCTCTGATGGGACTTGAGATAAGAGGGTCAACTTTAAATCGATATATTGTTAATTTAACTCCTCAATATGCAATCAATCATTTACCAAACTATAGACTTTGTATTATAAGCGATGCACACTATAGGCCAGTAAAAAATATGGACACCTCTTGTTTCCAATGCCAATTTCACGTTTGCCGCCCACTCCCTGTCGTGACTAAGAAAAGAAAATGCTGGATGTTTGGTTTGGTGGAGAGGCGAGGGGAGGGGGAGTGGTTTCCAGTTGGTGCTACGGCTAAGCTAACAACATCGCTAACTGCATCTTTAAAATCACACTGTTTGACCTTTAATTATTCTCAAAAGTTTTAAATGTGATGTATTTAAGGAGGTTTATTGATGAATCTTTTAATCTTGATGAGTCTAGAGTCTAGACAGAACACAGTGTCTGTTTATTTATCAATCACACTCTACATGCATAATTCTCACAACATTTAATCATCAATCACATGAGGGCGAGCGTATGACGAAGTTGAAGGCGTGATAAAGCAGATAAATTCAAACATAAAACAAAGTCTCAAGACCAAGCTGAAGGTTTCTCATATCTCCATGAAAAACACCAGCACATGTCACAAGAGTCAAATGTAAAGAATACTTTGAATATAAGTGCATGACTATTGGGTCAGTTATGCATTAGTGCTTGCCAAAAGTTGATTGATTTTTCTTGTTATAATAAATATGAAAGCACAGTAAATAATACAGTCAGATCTGAATCTCTCTTTTTTGTTGTTAATACCCACTTGGATGCTAAAATCCTAAAAAAAACAGGTTATCCACTGATCACACATGTTAATAAATTTTCTCAGTGGCAGTGCATGTTCTATTATTGATTAGTATCTGATTATTAAAGCTTGGCCAACCCTAGGCTCAACACCCAGTCTGCATTATCTGTCAGAAAAATAAGTTTTGTGGCTAAATTTCACTTTACATACTGTATCTAGACTGTAATAGCTGTAATGTGATCTGAAATGGTTGCGGCCCACTCTCAGGTGAAGTTCCGGTTTTCCTAATTCCAGATACAATCTCCAATTAAGACATTGTAACAACCCAAACGAGTTGAATTTCAGTAATTTGGGGACACCTGCAGAGATGATAGGATTATCATCAGCCTCATGGGTCACAGTATGTAAGGAATGCGCTCTCTCAACATGGGGCCGCAGAAAAGCCCGACTCCAACCACTTGAACCAGTGCAAACACGGATTTCTAAGAACATAATTTCTGCTTAGTGTTGACCGTTTGGCTTTTCCTAAATGGCTACAATTGTCTCTCCAAATTTACTCTTGCGGGTACGTGTCAAGGCATTTAAAAATATTTCGCAGCGCATAAAAACTCACTTCATAGTACAGTCCAATGAGGAGCTGGACTTTGTTACTTCACGTCCCCACTGCAGGAGGGGGTGATCTCTGGCTCCAAACCAGGATTACCCCCAACCTCATCATCAGGGAAGGCTCTTTAATACGGCTATTCTCTATTCAGGGTTATTCTAGTTTATTACGGTTGAAAGAGGGACAAAGACGGGCGAAGCTGGCAACCGGGATACAGGCATCCCATTCAGGCGGCGAGGAGGCCCCATTTGGCTCCGCTCGATGTGGAAGACTAGCCCTGGAGTCTACGGGGAATATATCAGGAGGGCAAACACCATTTCCACCTCATGGATTGGTCCAGACTTAAAACTAATAGAAAATGAAGTGTGTGGTGTTTTTGCGATTCCGAGTTCCTGTTTTTAAAAATTCATGACTCGGGCAATTCAAACCAGCTACATGTGTGTTGCATGTGGATCTCAAGCTGTGGTCCAGGCCGCTCTGTGGGGGGTAAAGCTTTGGGTTTCAGTGGAAGACTTTATCCACACTCAACAATACTGCACAGACCAGTAAAAGGCAGATTTGAATTGTGTGGTTGCTTATCTGCACTTTCTAATTCACTTCTCTAAATTGTACAATAAGGTTGCTGCTAAGCTGATTATGCTAATTGTCTATTCTTTCCTAATTAGTGAGAACAATTGAAAATGTTGAAGAGGAGATTTGGCAAAGGAACTTCGACTTAGAGCTACATGATTGGAGAAAAATAGATGGATTGCATAGATTATTTATTATGGTGGTTTCATGGTTTTTCAGAGGAATTACTGTAGACTTAAATATTTAACATCTGAGGATTAGAAATAACTGAATCTCAGACTTATTCAGATTAATTAACAATTAACCAAACGGCTATACTTGAAGGATTTGGGTGTCCGCCTTTTGTTAGATTAAAAATGTAAAGACTTTCAAACCAGAATAAAGAAACTATGTAATAACAGCTTCTAACGAGTTCTTAGTTTGGTTCTATCACTGATTAGATCCGCTGAAAAAGACCCTCACTCGGCCAATCAGCTCTCAGCCCAAAGCAGCTCTTTCACTGCAGAAAGTGATGAACATTTTGACTGCCTTAAAACAAGATTTGCAGACGGGACAAAGATAAATTATTTTGTTTTAAAAAGACACAAACAATGTCTCCCTTGGAATGGCTTTGTCCCTTTGGCAAATTTTGTTTTTTAGTCAGAATGTACTCAAATTAAGATAAAAACCAAGCAATTTTTACATCATATATATCATTTTTTCCAGTGTTCTTTCAAGTAAAGGCAAATGATAACATGTTTTCTTACAGATGAAGACGGTGTGGGATGGTCTGATGTGTTCACAACGTTTCACTTTTACAATACTTCTTCTGTTGAGACAAACTGCATGTTATTATTGTTATTTATCAACCAGCTACCCCAGCTTTAATGAATCGGTTAACAATTCAAAATAAAAAATGGAAAAATGGAGATGACGCCGCACAGCTTTAGCTCCCAAGGAACCCTAACCCTAACCTTTCGGGCAAAAACTACCCTTCATCAGACGAGGGTAGTTTTTGCCTGAAACGTGAAGAGATTTCATAATAAAATAATTCCTTGGGAGCTAAAGCTGTGCGGCGTCATCTCCATTTTTTCTTCAATTTTTGACCTTTTGCACGCCACTCAGATTTGGATGTGCGCGTCAACCTCACTCATGTTCAACAATTCAAATAAACACATGAATGAGAAGATAAGCAGATATTCAGTAAATAGACTTAGACTGAGCAGGTTTCTTCTATGACTTCTATGCATTCAATCAAGTTGTTGATGTGTTGTGTTGCAGGCTACGGTCACTGGAAGGGTCAGGTCTTAACTGCAGAGGAGCTGAATGTTCTTTATGAAGGAATCAAGCTCAATAATGTCAACCACTACGACTACATCCTCACCGGTAAGTCCAGCGCCGTATTTACAAAAGCGTTGAAATTCAAGTGGTTCTAAAGATAATGAGTGGTGATGGTTGCAACATGAGCTTTCTGAATGAGAAATGTTGTTATTGCTCAAACAACCTTAAACTACTGTAGCTGAGTAGAGTTTTACAACAAATAAACAATGAACAAGTTACTGTCACATCGCGCTTCAGTCGCCGTTCTACGTCAAAAAAACAAACCCCTTCGAACAACGCCGCTGTATTAGTGCTGTAATGTACTGGCACTTCACAAAAGTACTATTGTCTGGTAATTGGAATTTTTGGATGGAGTAAATACCAGATGTCACTAATTCCCATTGCTTTTCCTGTCTGCCTCAGGGTACAGCCGAGACACGTCCTTCCTGGAGACAGTGGTGGATATTATAAAGGAGCTCAAGAGGACCAATCCCAAACTGGTGTATGGTGAGGGCTTAGTCTGCTAAATACTCTGCGCTCCAAGTCCAGTGGAAGGATTTGATCATGTGTTGTAATATACAAAGGAAACTCTATTCATTCCCCATTGTGTGAAATAAACTTAATATTGAGTTTATAGAAATGATTTTAGTGTGGGGGTGTTTCTTCTTGCCGGGTGCAGGACTAATGCACTCGATGGCACCAAGGAAAATGTATGTGGATATATTGAAACAACATTCTAAGATATCAGTGAGATAAGTTTATGCTTGGTTGCAGACAGCGTTGCAAATGGACAATGACCCGAGCGTACTTCTGAAAAATGGCTCAAGAACTCTGAGGTGAATGTGTAGGAGGGACCATCACAGCCCTGGCCCCAATCCCATTGAACATTTGTGGGAAAAGCATTTGTAACAAGAAGGTCGACAAACAAGTCTCAGTTACATCAGTTCTGTCAGGAGCAGTGGGCAAAGCTGTCGGACGGAAAGATGGAAAGAATCTCAGAAATGTTTGGCCCAAGTTAAACAATTTAAAGATATTAACCGAGTGCAGTGTTTTTTAACCAGTGTGCTGCGGAACGTTAGTGTGCCTTGAAATGTATGGTGTGCCTTTGGAAATGGACTCTCTCTGGTCTCTCTCTCTCTCTCTCTCTCTCTCTGGTCTCTCTCTCTCTCTCTCTCTCTCTCTCTGGTCTCTCTCTCTGGTCTCTCTCCGATTTCTCTCTCTGGTCTTTCTCTCTGGTCTCTTTCTGATCTCTCTTAGGTCTCTCTCTGGTCTCTCTCTGGTCTCTCTCTCTGGTCTCTCTCTGGTCTCTCTCTGATCTCTCTCTCTCTGGTCTCTCTCTCTCTGACCTTTCCGATCTCTCTGGTCTCTCTCTGGTCTCTCTCTCTGGTCTCTCTCTGGTCTCTCTCTCTGGTCTCTCTCTGATCTCTCTCTCTCTGGTCTCTCTCTCTCTGACCTTTCCGATCTCTCTGGTCTCTCTTTCTCTGGTCTCTCTCTGATCTCTCTCTGGTCTCTCTGGTCTCTCTTTCTCTGGTCTCTCTCTGATCTCTCTGATCTCTCTCTGGTTTCTCTCTGGTCTCTCTCTGGTCTCTCTCTGGTCTCTCTCTGGTCTCTATCTGGTCTCTCTCAGATCTCTCTCAGATCTCTCTCTGGTCTCTCTCTGGTCTCTCACTGGTCTCTCTCTGATCTCTCTCTGGTCTCTCTAGTCTCTCTTTCTCTGGTCTCTCTCTGATCTCTCTGATCTCTCTCTGGTCTCTCTCTGGTCTCTCTCTGGTCTCTCTCTGGTCTCTCTCTGGTCTCTCTCTGGTCTCTATCTGGTCTCTATCTGGTCTCTCTCAGATCTCTCTCTGGTCTCTCTCTCTGATCACTCTCTCTGGTCTCTCTCTGATCTCTTTCTAGTCTCTCTCTCTTGTCTCTCTGGTCTCTCGCTGGTCTCTCTCTGGTGTCTCTCTCTGGTCTCTCTCTCTTGTCTCTCTGGTCTCTCGCTGGTCTCTCTCTGGTCTCTTTCTGGTCTCTTTCTGATCTCTCTCTCTTGTCATTTTCAATGGAAAGGATGTGCCACTGATTAAAACGTTTGGGAAACACTGACCTACTGTATGAAAACCTCTGACCCTGGGATTATAAAAATATGATGATTATTATTATCATTTTTATATAAAAACTGACACCTCATTTATTTTTATAATTTACATTTTTCATTATTTTTCCACCTGATCACTGGAAATTTGATTTGGATTATATATCAGGAATTGTAGAAACTCCTTAACACTTCTTTGTGCATGTTTTTTGTCCCCAGTGTGTGACCCTGTGATGGGAGATCAAGGTGCTATGGTACGCTGTTAGCTGTGGAGATACTTTGGACTGAGAATGAATTATTGTTAATAGTTTTACTGTTGTTGTATCTTTCAGTATGTTCCAGAAAATCTACTGCCAGTGTACAGAGACAAAGTTGTGCCTTTGGCTGATATTCTCACGCCCAATCAGTTTGAAGCAGAGTAAGTGCAACACTGGAGATTTGTTAACAATGGTTGAATATGGAAGTCAAGGCAAATATTTTGGATAGCACAATTCATACACAGAGAAGCTCAACGTGCTTCACAAAAACAAGAGAAAACGCATTAACATCATAAATACCCACAGCATGTAAAAGAGATAGATAATAAATATACTGTTATATAGCTGTTTTTGCTGTATAGAAACTTCTTTGTACACTGTAGGTTTACAGAAGGGGCTACATATAACTCCATACAACAGTCCATTGTCAAATCACTAATTATTTATAAACCATTTCACAGGATTTTAACTGGAAGGAAAATTCATTCAGTGGAAGACGCGATAGAGGTGAGTTTATACTGTACGTGTCTGCTTTTCAGTGTTTCATTATATTTGTATTGATGTGTGTATTATTTAGGTGATGGACTTACTTCATAAAATGGGCCCTGAGACTGTTGTCCTGACCAGTACAGACCTGCCGTCAACGCGTGGGGACCAGTTCTTGGTGACTCTGGGAAGCCAAAAATCAGGTGCATAGTTTCATAAATATAACATACTTACCCTGTTTCTAGTTTGACTTTTTTACATCTGAAAAAGCTGATCTAAATCTGCAACAGTGGTTTGAAAGTTTGGGACCCCAGCTTTAAAATGGCCACTAAATCAATATGGCCTGCTTCTCAACCGTCCACTGTGTTTTATTGCGTTAATATAAGTGCTTGTACAGTTTATGTTTCGTGAAGTATTTCCTCCTTTTATCTCGTCTTAGTGAAACCAGATGGGACCAATACCGTTCAGAAAATCTGCCTCGACATCCCCAAAGTGGATGCAGTCTTCGTGGGCACTGGGGACTTGTTTGCCGCCATGTTGCTTGCATGGACTCACCACCATCCGAACGATCTGAAGGTTTGTTGCATTCAAATTAGAACGCAATAATAACATTTCTCGACCAGATAATAGCTCTCAGTGAAACATGTGATTTTCAACAGTCCGCCTGTGAGAAAACTGCCTCTGTCATGCATCACGTCATCAAGAGAACAATTAAATACGCCAATGGTAGGTTTCTATTTTCATCTGCTTGTATGTCGTCCCTTTTAAAAAGCACATTGGAAAACTGACAATGCAGAGGGCTGGGCGTGACTCGTTCTAAACGCAGTTAGCATGTAGATTTGGCTGTCTGTCTTTGGTTGTTTAGTCCAGTAATGAGACCATGGTAACCAAAAATGTTTCATTCTTGATGTCGTGAGTATTCCTTGTTTTCTTGTGCTTTAGTAATTTGTAGTCCTGAGTCATTATGATTTTGTCACTCCGTCTTGTGTTGACCAACCGCTCAAACAGCCCTTTCTTTGGTTGACTACAGCTCTAGAAGTAATGTTCTATGTTTGTAATTAATGCTTAAAAAGCTCTAAGACAAAATGTGAAGAAGCTTTGCTTAATTACCTGACATGTTTTGGCGGTTAAAGGAGCTATACCCGTTTCTGAAAGGTTTGAATGTTTAGCCCCGCCCCCAACTCGCTCACAGGCTTCTCATTTTCCCTACGCTCTCATCCCACGGAGCCATCTAGTTTTATTTTCCATCTGTATGCAAACATTAGCATGAGCGCAACTTCTTGTAAGCTGTACAACAATCACTGATGAAATGGTACAAAAGCAACTCACTGCTAACAAAATATACAACTGAAATATTACCACTAGTTCTGTATCTAGAATGTAGTCCGAACGTAGATAGTCCGAGCATAGATTGTCCGAGCATACATAGTCCGAGGCGGTCCCACAGGTCTCTCCTATATAAGTCTCTCCAGAGGATACGATGTAAGCTAGCTATGTTCACCCGGGCTTGATTTCTTCTTTGATCATGTTTTGGCTTTAGTTCCCTCTTCTCTTCCTCACTGTTGTGTCGTTTGGGCTGTTTTGCTGTGTCTGCAGTTACAGCAAGAAGAGTTATAGCCAATTATGCTAACGTGCTACTGTGTTTAGCAGCGCTGTAGAGGCTAGAGGACGCTGCCTCGTTCTGTGATTGGAGGAGAGCGGGCGTCACGCTAAAGTCTCTACTCAGCACTTTTTACGGCCTGAATTCATTCACAGCTGAATCAATCAGTTTTGTCATATAAAAATACTGTATCCTTACTGCTTTTGCAGAGCTGGCTGGCCCGGGGAAGAAACCAAATGCGGCACAGCTGGAGCTGAGGATGGTCCAAAGCAAAGCCGACATTGAAAACCCTGCCGTTGTTCTCGAGGCTAGAGTTATACAGAAGAAAAATCAGTGAAGGTTATGTTTTTAATCTGACACATGTAGGATTTTCTCATCAAGACTGTCCAGTGACTTTGCCTTACCGACTTTTAACAAGTGCCCATACGTTTTCATGTTGTCTATTAAGTATTGTTTTATTTATATGGTCCATAACTGTCATCATATGGATTATTATTCATCCATATTGTTCATTTATCTTCATGAAAGACTGAAGGTTTTAAAGCACATTCCAACACAACAGTGATACAAATGTCCAATGCACAAAATAATTGTGCATAGCCATTTTGTCTACTATTTGTCCGTTTTCTTTTGGCTGGTGATAAATACAAATTCCAGCCCTGTTTCTCAGATCATATAGCCACAAATAGACATATTATATACTAAAATATATACCATTGAACTTTGATTGAGTTAATTATGCAACGATTTAAATGAACTAATGGGCCAGATAATTTTCATATGTTGTTACTTGTATTCTTATAACAGATTATCAATAAGTGTGATTTATTAATAATTGTTTCCTTCTACTAGAGTTTTATTTTGTATGTATACAGTATTAAATGAACTAGTGAAATGCTGTATAACATGATAGATGTATGTCTTAACATCTCAAATTGAGGTACTTGCACAATGACATGTAATAGAAATGTTTATTTTTCATATCACGGAGAGAGTTGGTTTGAGAGGAGAAGCCTTTACAGGGTTAGAAACTGAATGTTTGTCAATCAATAGTATGTTAGAATGTTAGAATGTGAAGTGCCAACCGGTGACCTCCTGCTCCAGGTCCAGAGCATCTTAATGAAAATGTTAATGAATTAAAAAATCTTTTAGTCAAATTGTGTCACACGTGTTATCTTGTTTTAGATGGTCAGTTTTATCATTGGTGCCAAAACTCTATGGTATAAATGTGATTTTTTGTTATTTTTCTATTTACTGTTTTTACGAGTTAAACACTTCTTCTCCCCAATGTTGTTGGAAGAGTTCAAACTGCATACATATGAAGTATGAAATGACCCTATCAAAAGGCAGACCATCCACCAGGAAAGTTGCTTAGTGCACCCTGTAACATACTCATGTTTATGGGACATTTATGGATGAATTGAAGTGATCGTAAACCACAGCATGTTGCAATACACAGAAATAAATGGAACAAATCGACCTATTATACACTAGAAGGCTTCCATGTGGTATATTGATTGAACAGGTGACAGATTGTTTTACCATCACTAATCCACAGTGTACTATGTTGGGATTAACCCAAATAACCAAACTCACAAATGTATCTAACCTCACTCCTCTCAAAGCAAATTTAAGTTGTGGTCGAAGTAGACAACAAACAAGGGTTACAAATGGCTGCCATAGCATAAACTAAATATGAAGTATACATCACTAGTGGTCAGAAGACTGTAAGAAAATATACAACTAAACGGTGTATTTGTTCAAATCCACCACCAGGGGGCCAAGGAAGTGACTAGTTACTAGGGGAGAGGCATGGATGTATTATTATATTAACGGGGAGAGGTCACACTTATGGTCCCATCACACTAATCTTGTGCAGCTGGGCAATATCTGAATCATGTTTAATGTCACATTAAACATGCCATTCCACAAGTGGTACTTTAACAGCATTCATGCATATAATTTGATATATGTTTGTTTTGTTTTTTGTTACAATTATCCAATGCATATGTTGTGTTTGTGTGCTTCTCATTCCTACTGTTATCGTGGGACGAATACACTAGCTTTTTTTCTTAGTTTATTTGACCTTATTTGTAGTAAGTCTGGGGGGAGGGAGGCAAAATAGTCTGATTAACAGATTTGCACTAGAAATGAGGTTTTGCCATCTCTGATTTAACATGTATTAGTTTATTATTTAGAAGAAGAGGTTTACCGAGAGGGAATGGCAGTTGAATGTCTGTCGAAAATCCAACTTGAGGCTAACTTCACCTCGTTATTCTTTATCTAAAAACCTAATCATAATTTCTTCCACACCTTCGCTCTCCCCTACATAGGTACATTAACCAACCATCATATCTTGAATTTAATTGAGCCTGGCTTTCTTATATGTGTTAAAATGGTTTGACAGCAGCACTTTGCATACCTTAAAATGACATAATTAGGCCCCGTCCCAATACTCGCACTTCCACCCTCGCGCCCCTCATTTGCGCGTTCCCGATAAAGTGTGCGAGTGCGTAGGGTGTCCCAATCCTCCAGGGAGGTCTTTGGCCCCGCCCCCTTTGCGCCCCTGATCCACACTTCGCCGTAGCCTGCATCTATGCGCACTCTGGCGAAGGATATTGCCCATAATTCTTTGCGGTACACACCAAAACGTCGGGAAAATGCATTTAAATATACATTTTGAAATATATATGCTGTATGTGTGTAAATAAGTTTTGCTATGTTACTTGGAAAGAAGCATAAACGTCTGATGAAGAATTACGGACATTGTGTTTTAACAATTTAATAACGTTTTAAACCAAGCGTTTATATAACATTCAATTTAAACTTTACACTTAGTACAATAATCTTAGAATGTATAAAAACTGACCAGATAGTTAGTTACCCACATTTAACTTAAAATTATACAGCTATCTCTAATTAAAAAACACTAATATACATGTATTTTAACGTGTGTGAAGCAATTCAATTTGTTTCCCAAAGGGTCAGACAAAATTACCTTTAATTTTTATAAAGTTTAGGTCTGAAAATGACCATCTCTTGACGAGTCGATGACGTCACCTGCACTCAGTGTGCACTGTCCCAATTCCGCCTTTTGTGCACACTTGTAACCTGCGCACTCAAACCCTTGCGCGCACTTCAAACAAATGCACACTTCATAGGAGGGCGTAGGGTGCAGTGTGGGTATTGGGACTGGGCCTTAGTTTGAGAGGGGGTCGGACCGGATGCAGCACGTGCTCCCTTCAGATGGGGGGGAACATGGGGCTTTAACCACAAACAATAGCGCTTCTGCAAATCGCATTGTCTCTCAAGTCATTTTACGGGAGACCGGAGAGGGCAGACCATCCACTTCATCTGTGCAGTTACGGGACCAGACATCACGGAAGAACGCGCAAAAGCCACGCCGTGTGATGTGCCTCTGGTGAAGAGTTATCAGGTGAGGAGTGCAGTGCTGACGCTACCACCGGGTGACTGAGTTAGCACCGTTAGCATCATTAGCATTAGCATAGCCGTGTTAGCATTGGGCTGTGCAGTGCAATTCATTCATTGATAAACAGCTGTGCAATATGTCAAACTTTACTTCTGCAGTAACTAACACAGTGCTATCCGGTGTTTGAATACTGAGACAGGATTTGACCCATATTTTGACTTGTGACAGTAGTTTTAGTGGCTGTGTTTGTGGCTGACGTGATGCCCTTGTGCGGCTGATCTAATGCGCACTATTCAGGAGCTAGCTACTAAACTTATGTGCATTTCTCACAAGCACCAATGCAGCTTGTATATGGGTCAAACTCATGTAAAGACCATTGAATGTGCACGGACTGAGCCTGTGTTACTTGCAGACACGTGTTAAATGGATGTATCTGCGTTTTGATAATTCGCTTCTTTGCTGCAGAGTGAACTATTATTTTTTGACATGCGTTGTTGTGGTTTTGTGCAGAGATTATACATGTGTGCAGCTTGGATCAGGTATGCACTGGTTTAAGGTGCTGGGCGCCGTGCTCCATGGCACAGTGGTGTCACTGGGTTTATGCTAAACATGTGGTGTGAGAGGCAGCTGCTGGAGCCCATCGCCACTTTCATTCAGAAGGTTACCAGCGGTCATTGCACTAACTTCCTTTGGAGCCACGTGTGTTTTAACTTTTGAGTTAAGTTGATTTTTTTTATTTTTTATTTTTTATTTTTTTTGAGAAACACAATTAATGAAGTCTGTTAGATTTGTTTTCTTATATGGTCAATAATCTGTTTTAAAGAAGTGGGAAGTGGAAATTGCTCTTTGAATCTGTCTATTTTTGTGGTGAGCATAGGCACTTCAAACAATTAAAATAGATTGTTCTTTCAAATATTAGTAAATATGTGGATCAACAGCACTACAATAATACAGCGTGATCTATTGCTGTAGTTAAACAATGTTAGTACCTTGGAACCAGAGTTGTGTCAGTGTAATGGCATGTGTGCACAGTGTAGTCTTATCAAGGCTGTAGAACTTGATTGTATTCAGACCACTTTTAGGCACTTGAAGCCCATATTTGTGCTGCACCCGTCTTACATTTGGAGCATAAATCTGCAGTTTTTTACCTAGACTGATTGTGGGACTATCTACAGAAGGTAATGTGCTCAAGTGATGCATCCAATTGTAAATCCTAAAGTGTAGATAATGGTTTTGATTGACCTCAAACCTAGTGTCCCATCACTTCAATGTCAATTCTACTGACTAAACTCTTCATGAGTCTTGTCACCGACGTGAGTAATGAATAATCAATGAAGGTGATTTGAGGGTGCATTCAGAACTACATGTTTTTGCTTTTTTTAACTGGACAATATCTAGTTCCCTCTGAAAGTCAGGATCTGTCTTTAATACATAAACTAGCAGCCTCTGATCTGGAGCAGAATATTATCGGAGAACTACCCACCTGAAAACTGAGATCCGGTCAGGGGGGTAGCTTCACACAAGACACCTGCCTCCATGACCTCACCTTGAGTTCAGTCTGATCTATCGTCGTTGTTGCTGGTCTGATCTATGGACTTTACTGCTGGTTTGACCTCTATTTGGAATCTACAGTACATTTTGTAGCATGGTTGAAAAAATGACAAGAAAAGAAGACCAAGAGATGCAAGAGTTCTATCCAAACATAACATTTATTTCTAGTTACAATTAAATACTAATAAAACAAAACTCAAGGCTCCTATTTCCCTTACTATCCCTATAGATCTGAGTCCAAAACTGTCCCTCCAGGCTTTTATCCATCCATCCATTTTCTACCCTTTAATCCATTTCTGGGTCAGGGGGGTGACAGTCAGAGATGCCACCCAAGTCTCATAGCACCAGCCCCTCACCGACCCTCTGCAGGTGGTGAGTCCACAGGAGGACGGCTGCTCTGAGTGTGAGCATAGCCTTGATCTTTCAGTGGGGGCTTTGGGCAAAGTGGGGTTAAGTGTCTTGCCCAAGGACACAACGACAGCAGTCATCAGTGGGAGTCGGTGGAGAAGGTGCAGGGGAGGAGCATCTGGAATTGTCATCTTTGGCCCCGTAATTGGAACAAGCGACAGGACCAGGTCTGGGTCTGGTCAAGGTCATGACAAGGCTTCGAAAGGGGAAGCTGCCACCACATTTCTCTTGAAGACTCTTCAAAAAAATGGGAAGCTGCTTGTCTATTTCCCTTTGAAAAATGTTGATACATTGATGAAAATATAACAGAGGTGTGTGCTGTTGAGATTTCTCATCATTCGCTTGTTAAAAGTGAATAAGAATACAATTACAAAATACTACAGCAATTTAGTCCACATTGTAGCCATAACTTTTGGCCATGTGATCTGGTCGAACAACCAAAACCATATTCATCATCTTTGGTATAATTGTCAAGTATCTATATTCCTTGCTCAGGACAGGGCACACCAGGACATCATTCCATTTGCTCAAATACCCATGAACGTTGGTTAATCCATCTGCCTTCATGGACCAATGACCAGACCAACCTTTGGACGTTCTGAAGAACGCAGTTTACAAATATATTTAGATGTTTGGATCGTTCCAACTGTAACTTGCTTTAATTTGTCTGGCCATAGTCAATACAAGCCCCGGCGTCTCCTTATGGCAACGGTAATGAATGGTGACATATCCAGGGTGCCCATAGCCTGCTAATCAGTCCTAATCTGATCTACCAGATTATCAGGGGATGCATCCAAGACAGTACTCCCATGTGTGTCTTCCATCTCTGCTTTTGGGCTAATTTGTCTTTGTCTCGTGTAACTTCCTCAAAGTCACAGGCATATATTTGGATCGGTTTGTGCTAATGGATTTATTTGTTTTTAAATTGGCGTACAATAAATAGAGGCTAGAATATGCTGAGTTGGCAGGATCTCAGCTGAGCGGTCGCTGTCATCATCGTAATCTGTCCCATCGCCTTCCTGGGATTAGCATTGCTATGAAGCTAGACACTGTGTAGCCAACCTCGCCACCGCCCCATCTGAGGACTTTTTTTGTTGTAACTTTTTGTTTGTTTTTAAAATTTTGGCTGCGAGAAAAAAACAAAAGCCAAAATGCTGAACCAGAGCGCTGTTATGATCTTCACTGGCACTTGTGGGGCGCTGGTGTTGATGGCGATGGCGTACTACGTCTACTGGTAAGATTTTTTAGGTTTTTATTGTAAAAAGATCAGGGTGAAGCACATTGTTTACGTTCATTTAAAGTGGTTATAAATGTGCCTTTATGTCAGGCACTTTACAGTTTCTAGTGTTCAAAGTTGTACCTTGCATAAGGTCCATATAATGCTATGTTTGGCTAGCCACCTGGAACACGTTAAGAAACACTGATGGATTTGTAAGGCTTCATGCGCTTCTCTTTGTAAAGCACCCGTATTGACACGAGCAATTTATAATATCTCTGCAGCCAGAGGGTCAGGGGTTTGGGTCAGTTTATGTTGATACATGTGTTGAATCTCCTCGTCCTGTTCCTCAACCTCACTAGTGACCATTCTGCAATGATACAAACTTTTCTATATAAAGTTATTGATATAGTTATTGTTGAAGAAATGATAGTTATGAGCTAATTCTCTGTAAAAGATGGAGTTTTGTAGGTGACATGGCAGAAGCAGCTGTCCGGCTCTAAGCAGCTTTATCCCACCGTTCTTAATCTTCCTCCAGGCTGGTCACGGGGTCGGGCCCTCGTTCAACAGGGACATGATCTATATTGGCTCTGGACACAGGCACAAAGAGTATATTTGTTCTTTACAGTGGTTTAATGTTGGATATTCTAAAGTACTTCACTATTTCACAATATGCATGTTGTTACTGGTGTTCAAATGAGGGAATAATGTGTATTTACTGTAGTTTGGAACCAACCTTTTTACACTAAAAGATTGTTTCATGATTGCTTATAGTATTCATCAAAGTTATTCAAAGTGTACTTTGGATAATTTGGTCTGATTTTACAAAAGCAGGTTCTGTTGGTTTGTTTGCATTTTTTTATGATTTTTATATTAAAAAAAACAATTGAAATATCCCAGATAGTGCGCCTTGTCTTAAGTGTGTAAATGGAGTGTGATCTGAATCCTCTTGTGTGAAGTGGGAGGAGAAAGCGCTTGTCAAAGCGATCATTTTGTTTAAAGATGAGTGTGAATTCATGGTTATTTTGAATCTGACCCCAGGTCAACACAATGCAGAGAAACAGGCTCAAAGTGTAGCCTCTGCAGCAGTCAGCTGTTTGCTTTGGGCAAAGACCACAGATTGTTCATTATCATCACATCAAACAAACACACACGCAGTTATCTTCTTTCAACTTGATTACAATTGGTGTTGCCATGTATCCAATATAACATTAATAAAACCCACTAATGCAAATATATATATAATAATCTGTGATTAAGTGCGGAGAGGAAAATGGATTCTTACTCATGGGTTTGTCTCAACAATAAACTCTCTTTACAATCAGTACGAGATTCTAATCTGGTGCATATCGAGAACCCTACAACTACAAGGATATAATTTCCCCTTTTTGAAGTGTCAATATAATGTCCCATGTAAATCTGGAATACAGCTCTGCTCTATCGTGGCCCAGTTATTCTGAGACGAGACGACACTCTGTTGATAAAACATTTGAGGGTCCACCCTTCACACTGCGCCATGTTCGCTTATCTTTAGAACTGAGCCGTTCCAACACTGAGCAAAGTTCACACGTTAAACCCACAGACTGCTGGATGTTTGGACCTGCACACGTGGAACCACATACTTTCAACCGGCCATTTTTATCCAAGACGCTCAGCTGTGGAGGCATGCGTAAGATGTGGTTCATTTTGTACAATTTAATTTATGGCGTTTGTTTCTTTTGCTGTTCATTGGATCTTTTGAAGTGGAGTTTGTGTTTGGGCAATAATCTTGGGCCATAACTGTAGTCTGTTTGGTGCTCTACAACTTCTACAGCTGCAAAGAGAGATTTAAGATCTGTGTTGACTATTGAACGGAATAAACGTGTCAAAACAAGGACTGCATTCTTATACCCACTTTCTATTTCCAGTTCCAGGCCATTTGACACTGAAGTATGAGGTTGTTTTGGATTGTTCATCTTTGTGGTCTTTTTGGGGCATTTTGTGCATATTTCGCATACATAAAAACATGTTGGTCTTGTTTCAGTCTGGAACAATTCTGTGTAAAATGTAATTTATTTGGGTCGTTTTCAATTTGGGGGCAACATTTCAAAGAAGGCCTGAGTGCTTTAAATCCAAACGCAATCTATTTTAAATATATGATTCTGTCTTTGTCCATTTTGTATAATATTGAATTCTACTCAACTCTTACATCTTTGAAAGTATGTTTTAACCAATGTAGGCGGTTCCAACCTATTTGGGGCGAAAACATTTTTTGCCAATTAATTCCCAAAGTCTGTAATATTACTTTGGAATCTTTTATATGAATAAAACACCATCTAGTTGTACATATTAGAAAAGCTACAAGTCTCTTCTTCACTGATGTGTCCTTTTTATTTCGCGACCAATCCCAGTGTCATGATGTCATGGCTTGCACCTTTTTATTGGACAATGCAGCTTTACTTTGCACTATTTATACTGTGTGTAAATGTGTAAATCTTACATCTGACCATTCAAGTTTTGTTGAATAATTGTGGTATTTGTAGTTGAGTATTTGATTTGGTTTGACCTTCACAAGCCCATCCAACAAAAACGCTAATTTTCCAGCCGGCACTTGATTCAATTTGAATGTTCTGCTACTGTCTTCTCTGGTTAGTGTCACTGCTGGACGGAGTTGACGCCTCCTCTGCTCTTGTGTTTCAGGACTGTAGTACTGTCGGACGGACCGTGTAAACGCGGCTTGTAACAGATTCCCACCGTGGTACGTGCTCATTTTTCACATTTTCTACTAGTGCATCTCAATCAAGCAAAATAGTGCAAAAAAGTAGCAGATTTGTCATCTCATTAAGTGAAATTTCGTTCATATCTTCTTAGCGCGGTTTTCATTTTAGTTTATTAACCATTATTTTTAATCTTGTTTTGTTTTAAACCATAAAAAGTTGGGATTTAAAAACATGTTTTATACTGGGTCATGTTGTGTTCCAGGGACCAGCACTTGTATGTTATTGTGGTTCAATGATCAGCTAGATGGAGTGGGGAGGGTGGTAGTGCTATAAGATAATTCCTGATTTTAGAGGAAAGATACTTCCATTGTTAAAGCTTATAAACTATTCAAATGAAAAGACATTTTCTGAAACTAAAGTTATTTCCTGCTTCTCTTTAGCCTGTTTTTGTTTGCATTGAACATGAATAATTGCAGTCTTTGTCCCTTTTTAATTGTGACCACGGAAATGTTTGTGATTAGCTTAGTGTTGCCATACTGCAGATATAGTGCTTCTCTTATTTCCTTGTTACTTATTTGTACGAAACTCCCCATGTGTGTAAAATCCCTATGTTGCACTTGTCTCTCCCGTGGGTGCGGCAGGTCGGTGGTGTGCAGAGGGGCCCTCCGCAGTCATGGCTCTGCTGTCGTACCTCAAGAGCCTGTTCATCCTGCAGCTGCTGATGGGCTTCGTGTTTGTGGTGAGCGGCCTCATCATAAACTTCATCCAGCTCTGCACCTGCGTCCTGTGGCCCATCAACCGACAGTTGTACCGCCGCATCAACTGCAGACTGTCCTACTCGCTGTGGAGCCGTGAGTACAGGCTAGCACCACTACATTAGCATTAGTATTTACGCCGACAACTTCAACAGCTTTGTCACTCGGACCATAGTGTAAATAAGCTTGAGGTTGAATATACTTTTGTCTGTAGAAAATACTTTAAAAAATGTAATTTGATATACTGTATTATAAGCACTATACAGTTATGTTTTGTCATTCACAGAGAGCGTGAGTTTGGAATATTAAATTGCAAACCAGACAGTTGGTGCACCCAAAAACGTGTTCTTGTTTTGTGAAGGGAAAAAAAAAGTAATTTTTAACAATACAACGCATTAAATGACTTTGCTTTCCTTCTATATCATTCTAAAAGAGAGATCAATGGCCACTCCTAGTCATAAAGATTGATTACATAGTGACTGATAAAGATCAAAAATCATTGTAAAACTTTAGAAAAGATAAGTTTCCATTTTGTTTGTGAAATCTCTCGTATCTCTACTGGCTCAAAATTATATCTTGTTTTGCTTCTAGATTTTAGTTTTGTTTGATTATTGTGTGATTGTTTATCATTTCAACAGCCAGCATGTAGTAGCTTGAGGTGGAGTCCCCGTCACTTCTCTCCAGATGTTTTTAGATTTCCTGGAATGTACCACAGTGCACCATCAATCTCACATTAGTTCAGCTACAAAGCATAATCATTCTGCATTCTTTAATGGGGTCACCTTTCCACAGAGTTCACCTGTAATGTAGTAGTGTCATCGTTCTCCATGGCGATATACCTTTACTATTAACCTTCCACTGTGCAGCTCTGCAGTGAAGCCGTTGACCACATGTAGTATATATTTGTCGTGGCTAACCACTGTTCTGATTCTCTAATGCAGAAGAGGTAGAGAGCTACTCCTTTTGCGGTCATAATAAAAATCTATGTGATAATTATGACAAAACATGGAAAACAGATGTAAAAAAATAAAAAAAACCATAATACTCTATAACCCTATACTTATACTTTTAAAAGATGTATAATGACTCAAAAGTGAATCATTTGAGATCATGTGTAAATTATAAATCTTTTGGGGAGCTACTTGAAAGGGGCTGGCGAGCTACAGGCTGGATACCCCCGCTCTAACGCGTACCGGTGTGTTGTGGCTGCAGAGCTGGTGATGCTGCTGGAGTGGTGGTCGGGCACAGAATGCACCCTCTACATGGACCAGGCCACGGCAAACAAATTCGGCAAAGAGCACGTCATCGTCATCCTCAACCATAACTACGAGATCGACTTCCTGTGTGGCTGGACCATGTGCGAACGATATGGAGTCCTGGGGGTCCGTACCAGCGACGCTTTTTTACACTTTGCCACACACGTTATACATTGTTTGACTCTATTCTCTTCCTGCAGGCTTCAAAGGTGCTCGCCAAACATGAGCTGCTGAAGGTCCCTCTGATTGGCTGGACGTGGTACTTCCTGGAAATAGTTTTTTGCAAAAGAAAGTGGGAGGAAGACCGAAAGACTGTTTTTAGCGGACTGAATAGACTCAAGGATTATCCAGAGCACATGTGGGTGAGTGTCCTGTGGAGAGTGCCTCGCTCATACCAGTTTTCACACATGGATTTTTCAGCCGCTGACAAAACTTAACAAAGAAAAGAGAAAAAACGACCCTCTCCCAATCAGCTCATAGTGTCAAATAGTGACTCTCTAGGCTGTTTTCTAATGAGATGGAGACAGAAATCAATCTGCTCAGGGTCTATAAACTAACTGAGAAGCTAATCCCATAAAAGTAATATTTTCTTTGTCACGGAAAAGCAATCATTTGGATCTACCTACAAACTAATCATTGTATTCAAGTCAAAGTTGTCGCTTAATAGACCTCACGGTTAGAAAGATTTGATCATAGTCACTGAGGTTTCAAAACACTGGCACTTTCAATTTTGCATAGTTTAGTATTGTTTGGTTTTGATGTCTTTTGAGGGAGTGGTCTGTGATGTGTAGTGTATATATACATTTGTTTTGCCCCTTTAAAACTGGAGCTTAGCCTTTCCCTGTTTAGTCTGAGGGCTTTACTCACACCAGCTCTAATCTTTCTATGTATTCTATTGCCTCCTTATCTGACAGGTCTCTTTTATGAATTGTAAGTACAAAATGTATCCAGAAATTTGTATAATTCTTGTCAAAAGCCCTGTTTGAGTTTGATTTGTCAGTTCACAAGTGGATTGCTCTGAGAATGCAGAGGATTTTGAACTAAAATCTCCTTGTCTCTGTACGTTGTCCTTTGACCGATTTCTTATTTTTTCTACTTTCACTGGTGTTTGCCTGAAGCTGTAGACACAGAAGGTTCACAGGTCACAGCTGTACAATGCATGTCCCAGGAGGCAATTAGTTTTGGTTTTTATGCATATACAGACTGCTGCTTTTTTTTTTTTTTCTTGCTTTTTTTGTGTCAAAGATTCAAAGCCGTTCCCAGGTGAGATTAGCCGTGGGATTAGAGTTTGATCTAATTACCTTTTTTAAAGTCAAAGGTCAGCTGTGTGTCATAGTTGCAGAAGCAGAATCAAACATAGTTTAAAAACACTTGTACACATTATCCCCATGCTTCTAGACTTCATGCTCCAAGGATTTTCTCAAAAAAAAATTATACGCATGCAAAAGTACATACAGTAGTATTTTGTCTTTTGTTTATATTTTTTGGAAAGATTCTTCTGAGTTCTTTGGTGCCCTGAGTCTGAATTGTCTCAAAGCTGGGTTACCTAATTTTGAAACTATAATAAATCCATCATATTACTTTTCCGCTCTCAAAACAGTTGGATACAATCATCAGTTTTCACATTCATGTTTTTTTTGCCTGTCACATTTTAGATAAGACCAAAATTAAACAAAAAAACGAGAACTCAGTCCAAGTGACACTCTCTGCTTAAATGTGCTTAATTTCATCTCAAAATGTTACTTTTACAAGCCTCTGTCAGGACAAATGCAATGTTTATGACCGAGCAGTCCGAAGTTGGGAACCCCAGCTTTAATGATGCCATTTGTTTACTTTTGGGTTGTAGTAATTGAGAGGCGCCGGTCCAGGTCCGTGCTCACGTCTCAAATGTCCCCCTCTTGTGTTCGCAGTTCCTGTTGTATTGTGAGGGCACACGGTTCACGGAGAAGAAGCATCAGATCAGTATGGAGGTGGCTGAGAGCAAAGGCCTCCCGAAGCTCAAATATCACCTCCTGCCGCGCACCAAGGGCTTCACCACCACGCTGCAGTGTCTCAAGGGGACAGGTATAACCCCGGCTTTCACATCGCCGCAATAACATAAACAACTAATGAGGAAGTAGGAGCTTGAACTGCGTACCCCCGCGGCAGACTTAAATTCCTCTTGTTTATAAACATCTTACAATATTGACATGTTAAAATATTTATATATCTACATTATTCTCTTATCTAAATCATACATGTTGTTTTCAGCTCTTTACACGCAGCTTCTGGCACTAATCTGCACAAACATGTCACTACACTTTTGACAAAATTCTCCAATCTCTCAGTTAAATGAGGGTTTGCTGTGGGGACTTCTACAGTTAAATGTGTTGCGTGTTACAAAAAGGCAATCAAATAGCACACCTGGTTGTACAAGGACAACTAAAATCAGGCCTAGTGTTAATGAGTTCTTTAAAAATGACACCCCAACCTTGATTGCTCTTTTCCAACCTGGCTGGAAACTAGGGTTGCACAATATATCATCACGAAATCGCGATAACTATTCTGATATTGCCAGGGACGTGAAATTATTTGTATGAATAAATCGGGTGTATTCTTTGTGCATGCTGTAAACGTTGCCATTTGCTGATTGTGCGATAGAAATGGTGCAGTGGCTGGAAAGAACAAGACGCAACAAGATGGAGGCAGAAATGCAAACTCTGCACTTCCTATTCTGAAATAACACAATATTGTTATCGCCTTCCTTTAACCTTTTGCAGATTTAGTAGAAACTGCACATCACGTATTTCTCCTTTTCCCACAATGCAACATTAAGAACATGTTTTTCGTTCTGGTCTTTTCTCTAGTAACTGCTGTTTATGACGTAACCCTGAACTTTAAAGACAACCAAACCCCGACTCTGCTGGGCATCGTCCACGGCAAGAAGTACAAAGCAGACATGTGTGTGAGGTGAGTGGATGATCAAGCGTTTGACCGAGATCCAGGCCTCTGAGCCGCTGCGAGTGCAAAATGATGGATGACGTTTTCGCATTTTGGCCCAAGAACAGCTGCGTTTTAGTCCGACAACAATGAAGGCAGCAGCTGATTGATCCGAGTGCTTTGGCCTCTTTCCCAGTTTGAGGATGGGCCATAGTTTAACGGTTTAACAGAATGAAGTGAGGTGTAGATAAAAGCTGGATGTCGGATTTTTGGGGGGTTTTAACTGAAGTCATTCACACAGTCTTCTGCCTTATGCATCAAATAGTTATGGAAATGTGGAGTTTTTTTGGGTGGAGAAGCGTTGAGACTCCCATCTAGTGGAAGTTCAAGAGCACTTCTATCTTTCTTTCTCTATATGATTGATTTATGAATAATTGGAGCTGTGGTTTTTGCCCTAATCAGAGTAAAGTAGAAAACCTTTCTCCTAAATCTTTCCACATGTATTTCTCGGAAGTTGCGGTTACAGTTTTTCTCAGTCGCTTTGATGCATTTCTCAGATCAGGCTATTAGTTGAACCTCCACAACATTGAGCCATTGGTGCACATCATATAAGTATAAAAGATAAACTCTTAGCTTGTATTCAATAGTTTTTTGTGACCATGAACTCTTCTCCTGAGATGAAATATGTGCGGTTGTAAAGAACATAATTTCACATTTCAAAACATCTCTCCCTGAACATCATAGTGTACCAGGTTTGAGACAGAAGCATTTGGACAGAAGGGGCGGGTGGACGATGTATTCAGTGCCTGATATTAGCGTGGATGAAGCTCTAAACAAATTGCATATTGATAAGGAACAATGTCGTGGCATGAATTCAAAACTCAAAGATTGCAATTATTTAGCAACATATGTCTCTGTAGCAACCAACTCAACTGGCAAGAAATGTGATACATTTGTTTTATTCATATTGTCAATGGAAATGATTCACACTTTAGACATCAGTATTGTTAAAGGAGCTATACCCGTTTCTGAAAGGTTTGAATGTTTAGCCCCGCCCCCAACTCGCTCACAGGCTTCTTTTCCCCTACGCTCTCATCCCACGGAGCCATTTAGTTTTATTTGCGATCTATATGCAAACATTAGCATGAGCGCAACTTCTTGTAAGCAGTACAACAATCACTGATGAAATGGTAGATAGTCCGAGCATAGATAGTCCGAGGCAGTCAACAGGTCTCTCCCATAGACAAGTCTCTCCAGAGGATACGATGTAAGCTAGCTATGTTCACCCGGGCTTGATTTCTTCTTTGATCATGTTTTGGCTTTAGTTCCCTCTTCTCTTCTTCACTGTTGCGTCGTTTGGGCTGTTTTGCTGTGTCTGCAGTTACAGACAGAGGAGTTATAGCCACTTATGCTAACATGCTACTGTGTTTAGCAGCGCAGTAGAGGCTAGAGGACGCTGCCTCGTTCTGTGATTGGAGGAGAGCGGGCGTCACGCTAAAGTCTCTACTCGGCACTTTTTACGGCCTGAATTCATGCACAACTTGAGCTCATTGATTCAGCTTTCATTTAACTTACGGAATATATTGCAACTTGTATGTAGTAATAAGCATTTTTATGAACTCGGGTCGGGTATAGCTTCTTTGATGAATTACTGCAAAGCTCATTTTCATCAGTCATTTTTGGTTAAAATGCTTTACTCTCCTGCCAAAGAAAAAGTACAACGTCAGGTTTCGCCTCGTGGTCACATTTGCATCTGAGTTTGAAACTTTGAACGCGGCTGTTTTTATAAAGTCGTAAAACGTGGGCAGTTTTCATTCATCATTCTCCTTTTGTGAATGTTCTTTGTCATTTTTTACAACCGTCACTCTCTCCCCACCAGGCGTTTTCCTGTGGAGGAGATCCCCGAGGACGAGCAGGAGTGCGCCAGCTGGCTTCACAAACTCTACCAGGAAAAGGTGATGCATCCGGCAATAATAGACTTTTAAAAAAAAAAAACCATGTATAGACTTTTTGTTGCCCGTGGTGCTAAAAGATTGGAAAATTCATTACGTTGTGTCCGCTGCAGGATGCCTTACAAGAAAACTACAACAAAGAAGGCAAGTTCCCCGGGCCCACGATAATCCCGCCCCGCAGGCCGTGGACGTTATTAAATTTCCTGTTTTGGGCGACGCTGCTGCTTTCGCCCCTCATCAAGTTTGCGTGCGGCGTGTTCGTGAGCGGGTCGCCCCTCCTCATCATCTGCTTCCTCCTCTTCCTCATCATAGGTAAGTGAGCTGCATTAATCCCACTTGATTCTTTTGGACCGGACTGAACAAACTATTTCAATGTGACCCACGGGTTACAAAAAGTACTTACAGCTGCGGTACGAAAAGTATGTAATAGCAGTTCCTAGCTCTCTAAACTACTGTGAGATTTCATAACACTTTGAAGCAACTTTAGTTAAAGTTAAACTCCTCATTCTATCAATGTGCAGAAGCCTGTACTTTTCCCTTGTTTTGTCTATCTGAAGGCCAAGCTACATGGCACTGTGGCAGCTGCTGATTGGAGGTCTCCATGCCTCCGCTCTGTATAATACACTTGCATTCTGTTGTATCTGTGTTTGTGCTGTCTCTACCATCGACAATAAAACATGTCTTCTGTCTGAATGAACGACGCGATCCCAGACTTTGTCATCTTCTTCACTAGGGATGGACCGATTGTGACGTTTTGGACCGATATGTATAACTTAACTTGGCTGATGTTTTTTCTTGTTAATTATATATACATACATTTCTTGGCGGTTTGAATTTTCAGTTTTTCTTCAGCTTACATGAAGTCGCTGTACACCGCCTCATGCTTCTCAAATGTCCAATTAGATTTGTTGTGTTAAATACTTTTCTAGCAGCTCTTGAAATCTCACTGAACACGTGCAAACTGCATCACGCTGATCTTTTTCTGATACTGTAAAATATTGCCACACGACCGCCGCCATCTTTTGTTTCTTCTACTGAGGAAAGTGCTGTATCTCTTCGCACAAATATTTAATATGTCATTTATATGCATCTGGGTTTTTTAAGAGTTGTTCCTTGTCGATGCAGGAGGGTCTTGTTGGACAGTTAGTGTCCAACAGAAAGGATTGGTGATGATCAGGACACTTTAGCATTCTACAACATGTATGGACATTTTCTTCTGTGTGTGCTTTATATTCTTCATGTGTTTTAACTGTTGATTCTCTGACCTGTGTTGGTGATTTCAATGGTTTTGTTAAGTCCTCTGACCTAGGGCTATACAAGAATAAATTGTATTGTATGTATATCTTTAGATCAATTTATTTAGACAAATTTAAAAGTCCGCTCTTGCTCAGCCAATCAGCTATCAGCTCCAAGTGTCAATCATGAAACATGTTCCAAAAATGTTAGCGTTTTACAGGTCGTTTGACATGTTTTGGCGGCTGAGAGAAACTGCAGCGCCCAGAGGAAACCCACCAAGAAAATGCAGCATGTGCTAATGAGATAAAAAAAAAAAAAAACTGCCTCTTCCAGAAAGAGGAATGAAGTTATTTACTCCATCTTTAACATACAGATACCAGAAACGTAAAGATATTGATAACCCGAGACCTGTGATTCTTTACTATAATTACGACATCAGAAATCTCTTTGTTGATCTAAAGCCTGTGATATAAGACGGGTCCATGCACTTCTGTGTTTAACCTGGATATGAATCAATGGAATCGCAAGCACTGCTCAGTTCACGAATCAAGTTGCCGATCAACACATTTTTCTTTCTTCTTTTGTGGCGGTTTTTAGCACTGATTCGAAAGTAATCTGCAAATAATTAAATAAAAACAATAGGTAATTCGGGTTGGCCAGTGGTCAGAGGACTCGGTGGAAACCTTTGGTATCTATGGAGACTATTAATCAATCAAAGCGGCAAAAAGAAATCTAAAAACAGTTGGCGTATGTTTGTTCAGAGGTGTCTTTTGGACTTATCTGGACTGACCGGACTAAACTTCTACCACTGATCATGTACCTAAAAGAATTTTCCCCTCTCTCCTTTTTTGTGTCTTTCAGCTTCTATAGCCATCCGCCGCCTCATTGGTGTCACAGAGGTTAAGAAAACCGGATCTAGTTATGGCGATCAGGAATCCAAGAAGCAAAACTGAGGCGCATCATCATCCCTCGCCACAACTGTTGCGTCTGTGCAGCTCTCCCAAACGACTCCTCCGATGCTGTGTTTGCCAGACAGTAGGCCCGGAGGAGTGCCAGCCACGATTTACTAAAGAGAAATTCTGGATTTAGAACACCTGGGTCGAAAGAACATCGACCGTATAAAAACCGAGCGAGAGATGCAGAGATGTGCGTCAATAATCCAGCTCGTAATCCACTATCCCATTTCCAACTTAATCCCGGTCAAGTCTGAAATCTGAAGAACGGTCACTCAGAAAAAGCGGGTCGAGACAAGCCATGGCCCGCTTTGCCCTTTCAGCTACCTCCACTTCCGTCGACAAACAGAAGTGGTTCAAATTTCATCGCCAAAACCCAGTGTGTATTTGGAGATTTTTAACCTCTCATCCAGAGGTTATCCATTTCGTAATCTTAAAAACACACACACACCCTAACACATCTCTCTCCTCTCACTCCTGAGTGGGACGTGTAATAGGAACCGGTGCCTTGAGGCCCCAGGCTGTCTTCACTAATCAGACGTTCACCCAATTCATGCAATAACTGTTCAATACCAGATTAGGATGCACAGCGTGCCGTCAGACTGTCAGTTGACTCATTGTATGTATGTGTTCCTCTTTAGTTTATTCATCATATTTGTCTTAAAAAGAACATTTGGAATTTCTAATGTAACTCACTACACATTGGAAAGTTGTAGTTTTTTGGTTGCAAAAAGAAACACATTGGAATTCATAAAAGAAAAAAAAAGAGGGCTCTCTGGGGCTCCTAGAAACTACTTTATTATGAATTGTATTATAATATCCCCTTTACATTTAAACAAAAGCTCTAATCACTTTTTAACCATCTCAATTCCTTGCGGGGACAAAATTAGGGGATCCCACTTAAAGTCTGGAGATATAACATTGAAAACATGGCAATATTCAATTCATTCATTTGTCAGGTATTACAATGGGGCACTAGGTGGAGCCAGAGAGCCACCGCAGTAGTTTCCCGTGAATGCAGTGGCGTCTGGGTGATTTGGGTGAACCTTTCATTAAATCGGCTGGAGAGTCTGGGCTATCACTATAAGGGCTGTCCTTGTTACAGGTCTCATTACCAGCACTGCTCCATTTGAATACATCCTCACCCATCACCACCTGCATCGTATTTTGTTCTAATATAAAAAGAAAAAAAAACCAGAGATGGAGCAAAAGCACCTGTGTGGTGTCAACTTCACTTTTCACAAACTTTTTTTGTTTTTTTGCTGTCAACATTTAGGCTGCACTAGTCTCCGTTAAACTTTGCCTTAATTCAAGCTTGCTCTGGCAGGGAATATATTTTCAGCATCCCTTTAATCACTCAAATCGCTCCGTTTTTACAGTACACAGTTGTCTCTGGTTAAAGCAGTCGGGTCGTTTTGACGTAATCATGGCATTTTATCCTAATGTTGCAAAAAAAAGTGAAAAAGGTCTCTCACATTGCAAAGGGTTAGGGGTTGTTGGGTGCACTGCTGCTGAGCTGGACTGTGGGGAAGTTGCAGTAAAAATAGTTACTAAAAAGATTATGGGCCTAAAATTAGAAAAAGTCATTCATTGGTTTGTTTTAATTATTTTTTTGGGTCATTACAATTGGGATTACCAGGGATTAGAATCACTTAATGTAGAGATGATTCCTTTACAAGCCTTAATAGTCAGTGCTGCTTTGATCTTTGTGTGAAATTGTAGATGCAATCTGTCTGAGCCGTTGTGGTCGAGGACTTGTCTTTTCTGAATTTTGGGATTAGGTTCCCTAGGATACACTGGTGGTGAAATAAAAAACTGAATAAACGAGCTCTGTGCAAGAATGTTCATTAAAAACTGATAAAAATGATGACTATAAAACTATTGGTGAACTCCAAGCAGAACAAATGCTGTGAAATGAAAAATTATAAATGACGACTTATGAGTGAAAGACCAACTGCAAATTGTGGAATAAATCCCAATTATTGAGTTAAAAGAAATGAGATATTGATTTAGCATTATGTTGTTATGCATCAGCGTTCCTTTTCTAAAGCTATTTTTATGTTTTCTGCAGTTGACACTTGATATTAAAGGAATTCATGACAAAGACACTCCTTTTGTTGATTTTTATGTGTTCTTTGGGGACATTGTAATCACTGGAGGAGACAATTCTCATCTTTGCTCACACACATTTCATATTCAGTCACTATTTTCATTGCCTTTAAGCAGCTGCACATAAAGGACGAATGTCTAACAGATGTGTATATGCATGTCAACGTCAAAGTTTTAGGTAAAGTCAACATCCCACATTTGTTTCCCTCGAGAATGGTTTACATTTTTATACGTAGCATAACCATAAATGAAGGTCCTTAAACGGTTCCTCCATAGATTATATGAACACTAACCATTACAACATTAACAAGGCCTTTTGTGTTTAAACTCTGGACAGAAAGTGTAGCATATTCTATACATATGTACATAATGTAGATATCGTTCACTTTTAGAAATTGCAGATAGTTTATTTTAATTCAGGCTGCAACCAAATGAGACAGTTCCAGGAGCACATCAATAAACAATGTGGAAAATCAATCTGCTCAAAAAGATTCAGTGTAAATTGGAAATATTGTTTTGACACCATCGTTTCCTCATCAACAGACAGACATGGAGTCGTTTTTAGATCCACCCACGCTAACATCAGAAACTTCACAAACTTCTGTCTCAGTCCTGCCGTAGGATGTCATTGTAAAACTATATGACGTCAAGTTAAGTCCTTTCTAAAACAAAAGTATTGTCCATTAATTGGTTTTTGGCAATTTCTCAGGGGAAAAGACATTGTTACAATCATATGGCTGTGTTTGCAATTGGTAATTTTCTAACTTGAAAAAAACAAAAACAAATCCAGCTTCTCCCTCTGGTGGTAGAATTCATAGTTACAGGTAGAGGCCATTTTGTTCCCTTCATACTAAGTCATTAATCTCAATAGTCTTCTTTAATACATATTGTCTGAACGACCATAAAGTCACTGGTCTGTTTACTAAATGGACTGGACTATTTTTTTCCCACATGGTTTTTTGATATGCACCTTGTTAAATGTCAAACATAAAATCTTCAGTAATACATTGTTTTGGAGATATTCAGGTCTTTAGCTGTAAATATCAGCAAATGAATCCATCTAAAAGCCACAACTTTTGCATCCCTGCCACATGCTCTGCAGGCGTTTCTCAAACCGTTTTTATTCTGATTAATTTGTTTAGTCTGACACTTTTGCATGATGGGCGATGAACGGTGCAGTCTTTGAATCCAGCTTGTTCTGACTCAGGGACAGATGTGGCATTCAAACTATTTGGATTTCAATAAAGACTTTGAAGAAGAGGATAATGAGTGACTTTGTTTATTCTTCTCATTAACTCTGGTCAATATCCCAAATGGCATATGACTGACATGGAATGGAGTTGAACAGTCTATAATTGCTGTCATTGCACACAAAGCTTTGGGTGGTAAAAGGCTTTTCTTACACACAGGACAACCCTCATTTGTTTAATTGGGAGACATAATTGCATTTAGAGACATTTAATTGTAGCATATGATGAGTCCACGATGCAGCTTCTTGCACTGCTTCTACTCCCTGCACCCTCCTTTAGGAATGTGCTGAATTTATCATTTTAATATTATCCTAATTCATTGGGGGGATGCAATGCGATAAAATGTGAAAGTTCCAGTAAACATATATTCTTTACACTTAACTTTGCGCTACTACCTCTAACCTTAATTTATCTGGAATCTACCATAATTACACAAATAAATTAACTTTAAAAAAAATTACCTGTTTATGGACCCAAGTAAGCAATGAGGCCAAGTGACCACTAGAGGGAGCAACAGCCGTGAGAGAAAGAGAGTTACTGCACATTTTAGTCTAATTAATTATTATTCAATTATTTTGAACCACTCCATGAGAGCCCAATTTTTGGCCCATTAGTTAGAACAGCGGAGATAGGCGGACCCAGGACTGAGGCTGTAGACCCAGGACTGAGACTGTAGACCCAGGACTGAGGCTGTAGACCCAGGACTGAGACTGTAGACCTAGGACTGAGGCTGTAGAACCACTACTTAGGCTGTAGACCAAGGACTGAGACTGTAGACCCAGGACTGAGACTGTAGACCCAGGACTGAGACTGTAGACCTAGGACTGAGACCGTAGAACCACTACTTAGGCTGTAGACCCAGGACTGAGGCTGTAGACCTATATGACTGAGACCGTAGACCCAGGACTGAGGCTGTAGACCCAGGACTGAGGCTGTAGACCTATATGACTGAGACCGTAGACCCAGGACTGAGGCTGTAGACCCAGGACTGAGACTGTAGACCCAGGACTGAGACTGTAGACCTATGACTGAGACCGTAGACCCAGGACTGAGGCTGTAGACCCAGGACTGAGACTGAAGACCTAGGACTGAGGCCGTAGACCCAGGACTGAGACTGTAGACCTAGGACTGAGACCGTAGACCCAGGACTGAGGCTGTAGATCCAGGACTGAGACTGTGACTGTAGACCTATGACTGAGACCGTAGACCCAGGACTGAGGCTGTAGACCCAGGACTGAGACTGTAGACCCAGGACTGAGACCATAGACCCAGGACTGAGACTGTAGACCCAGGACTGAGACCATAGACCCAGGACTGAGACTGTAGACCTAGGACTGAGACCATAGACCCAGGACTGAGGCTGTAGACCCAGGACTGAGGCTGTAGACCCAGGACTGAGGTTGTAGACCCAGAACTGAGGTTGTAGACCCAGGACTGAGGTTGTAGACCCAGGACTGAGGCTGTAGACCCAGGACTGAGGTTGTAGACCCAGGACTGAATCTTGAGTTACCGTGGAATTAGTCTATTGTAAAAGTTTGACAGCAATTGTAAGAACATCTTTAAACTTTATAAAGTATAGAAAAGCAGAACTGAATGCCTGTCTAGGTCTGGTCCTGGTCTCAGGCCTTGTCTTGGACCTTTGATCAACTATAGAAAGACGAAAAGTCAATATGTGCAGAAAAATGCACTACTCAAAGAACCTGAATGAATATGAGTACCACACAGTACTGCAATACTTAGTAGTATACAAACTTACCATTTTAAACTTAAGCACTCAAATATACATTATGCATCTGTGATGACACAGTTATTACAGAGTGTATTTACGAACATGACTTTGGATGTTCTTCCACATTTACAGCTCCGTAATGACACTGATCCTAAAGAGATGGACTAAACCACATTATTGTTACTGTTTATTTTTTGTAACATATCATGAAACAAATAAGTTCATAACAGAAGTCCCTCCATGGTCCCAGCTGTGACGGTTGTGCTCCGGTCGTTAGCTAGCGATGCTATTAGCTTAACGTAGGTCAGTGTAGTTCAGAGGTGGTCTCTGAAGAGAACAGGTTATATTTACAGAAACACGAGGCCTTCTCCTGGAGTCCACCCAGTTTTATCAAAGAGACAGTTTGATCGCTGCGACACCAGAGCAGACTCTGCTTCAGGAGGTTAGGGTTAGGGTTAGAAAAGGGTTACAAAACTATTTAATATACGTCATTAAACACATGATAAAGGAGATGTCCCTGAATCTGTGAAAAGTCTTCATAAAAAAAGTGTTAGTGACTCCTGTATCTTTGACGTTCTTTAAGTTTGTAAAGTTGATCTTTTTTGTTTCCTCAGAAATCCTCAGCACAGGATTCCCAGAGGGAGAGCGCCCCTAGTGAGGCACAAAGGTACTACACATGTGGAAGCTGTTTATTCACACAAAACACTCAAATAGGTACAGTTATCAAAGGGACAGAATGGACAAATAGGTACAGTTATCAAAGGGACAGAATGGACAAATAGGTACAGTTATCAAAGGGACAGAATGGACAAATAGGTACAGTTATCAAAGGGACAGAATGAACAAATAGGTACAGTTATCAAAGGGTTAGAATGGACAAATAGGTACAGTTATCAAAGGGACAGAATGGACAAATAGGTACAGTTATCAAAGGGACAGAATGGACAAATAGGTACAGTTATCAAAGGGACAGAATGGACAAATAGGTACAGTTATCAAAGGGACAGAATGGACAAATAGGTACAGTTATCAAAGGGACAGAATGAACAAATAGGTACAGTTATCAAAGGGTTAGAATGGACAAATAGGTACAGTTATCAAAGGGACAGAATGGACAAATAGGTACAGTTATCAAAGGGTTAGAATGGACAAATAGGTACAGTTATCAAAGGGACAGAATGGACAAATAGGTACAGTTATCAAAGGGACAGAATGAACAAATAGGTACAGTTATCAAAGGGACAGAATGAACAAATAGGTACAGTTATCAAAGGGACAGAATGAACAAATAGGTACAGTTATCAAAGGGACAGAATGAACAAATAGGTACAGTTATCAAAGGACAAATGGACAAATAGGTACAGTTATCAAAGGGACAGAATGGACAAATAGGTACAGTTATCAAAGGGACAGAATGAACAAATAGGTACAGTTATCAAAGGGACAGAATGAAGGGACAAATAGGTACAGTTATCAAAGGGACAGAATGGACAAATAGGTACAGTTATCAAAGGGACAGAATGGACAAATAGGTACAGTTATCAAAGGGACAGAATGGACAAATAGGTACAGTTATCAAAGGGACAGAATGAACAAATAGGTACAGTTATCAAAGGGACAGAATGAACAAATAGGTACAGTTATCAAAGGGACAGAATGGAACAAATAGGTACAGTTATCAAAGGGACAGAATGAACAAATAGGTACAGTTATCAAAGGACAGAAAAGGTACAGGACAAGGACAGAATGGACAAATAGGTACAGTTATCAAAGGGACAAAGAGACAAATAGGTACAGTTATCAAAGGGACAGAATGGACAAATATACAGTTACAGTTACAAAACAAAATGGACAAATAGGTACAGTTATCAAAGGGGACAGAATGGACAAATAGGTACAGTTATCAAAGGGACAGAATGGACAAATAGGTACAGTTATCAAAGGGACAGAATGGACAAATAGGTACAGTTAGAATCAAAAGGGACAGAATGGACAAATAGGTACAGTTATCAAAGGGACAGAATGAACAAATAGGTACAGTTATCAAAGGGACAGAATGAACAAATAGGTACAGTTATCAAAGGGACAGAATGAACAAATAGGTACAGTTATCAAAGGGACAGAATGAACAAATAGGTACAGTTATCAAAGGGACAAAATGGACAAATAGGTACAGTTATCAAAGGGACAGAATGGACAAATAGGTACAGTTATCAAAGGGACAGAATGAACAAATAGGTACAGTTATCAAAGGGACAGAATGAACAAATAGGTACAGTTATCAAAGGGACAAAATGGACAAATAGGTACAGTTATCAAAGGGACAGAATGGACAAATAGGTACAGTTATCAAAGGGACAGAATGAACAAATAGGTACAGTTATCAAAGGGACAGAATGAACAAATAGGTACAGTTATCAAAGGGACAGAATGAACAAATAGGTACAGTTATCAAAGGGACAGAATGAACAAATAGGTACAGTTATCAAAGGGTTAGAATGGACAAATAGGTACAGTTATCAAAGGGACAGAATGAACAAATAGGTACAGTTATCAAAGGGACAGAATGAACAAATAGGTACAGTTATCAAAGGGTTAGAATGGACAAATAGGTACAGTTATCAAAGGGACAGAATGGACAAATAGGTACAGTTATCAAAGGGACAGAATGAACAAATAGGTACAGTTATCAAAGGGACAGAATGAACAAATAGGTACAGTTATCAAAGGGACAGAATGAACAAATAGGTACAGTTATCAAAGGGACAAAATGGACAAATAGGTACAGTTATCAAAGGGACAGAATGGACAAATAGGTACAGTTATCAAAGGGACAGAATGGACAAATAGGTACAGTTATCCGAGAGTGTCTCTCGCTCCTCCAGCGAGAGACCCGCGGGCGCTCGCTGGAGGAGATTGAGAACTACTTCAGGACGGGACGCTCCTTCACTATCACCAGTTATCAAAGGGTTATCAAAGGGTTAGAATGGACAAATAGGTACAGTTATCAAAGGGACAGAATGGACAAATAGGTACAGTTATCAAAGGGTTAGAATGGACAAATAGGTACAGTTATCAAAGGGTTAGAATGGACAAATAGGTACAGTTATCAAAGGGACAGAATGAACACAGGAGCTACTGAACAATTGAAGTTACAGACGCAGGAACGCGTTCGTGGAGGAGGTGGCAATAAATCCCAGTTTTGTGTGTGTTTTAGTGTTTTCATAAATGGATGAATCAGATCCTTGTGTTCCATAATGTTTACTGAGTCTTTCTGAACTGTGGGATTGGACCTCATGATGTGTTTCTCTGCCACAGCTCCCCTCGACCAAAGCGCAGCAGATGTCTTTGGTTGCGGCGCATGTTTTGCCATGTGCCGCAGAAAGAAAGCCAAAGTCTGCAGCCTCTCCGCCGGTAAGAACAGCCTCTTCTCTGTTCACCATGCTTTTATTTCATCATCAAACTCACTGTGACTTTATCTTTTCAGTGGTGCAAGGTCTGTCCACGGTTTTTCGTGGCTCACCAGGAGCTTCAGGGTAAGTAGGACACATGGTGTGATGCTGTGGTTGTAAATATTTAAATGTGTGTAAACTCTCTTCTCCATCAGAGGACGCACAGAGTGGCTCCTTCTCCGGTGGAACAGCCGGCCACACCAGCACCACGGTAATCCACATCATCCTCTCAGAGCCTTCATGGTTCTCTGCTGAAAGTCCTAAAGTTAATGTTTGTGTGGCCTTTTCCAGCTCCAGACCCTAGCCACCGTTCACGCCTCCTTCCCCCGCCCCCCTCACACTTATAGAGGTGACCCCAGAGGAGGATAGTCTGCCCCACATGGACCGGGCCCTGTCAGAGTCTGTCCCCAAAGACCTGAATGTTCTGCTCCCTGCCCAGACCACAGAGGAAGACCAGACCAGAGAGGAAGACCAGACCAGAGAGGAAGACCAGACCAGAGAGGAAGACCAGACCAGAGAGGAAGACCAGACCACAGAGGAAGACCAGATCATAATTGAAGTACTGACCTCAGATGAGTCCAAAACATAGGCCGTTGAAATTCACGTGCCACAGACATGGTATGACAAAGTATGAAAACATGTATTTCCGCATGTGTTAGCTGCACGAGCCTCATTCATTTAACAAGTGTATTCCAAAGGCCACAGCTGCTAAACTAGACTGGTCCAAAAATAAATACTACCCTCAACATTGACAGCATCTGGAACGTAGCTTTGGATCCTGTAAAGACGTTTTCCAGAGGGAAGAAGACGCCATGCAAAAAGCATGGGATAATTCTCTTTCCGGGTACACCCCCACAGGCCCGGAGTGAGATTGCAGTATGTCAGTGCACGTGCTCATGAACCCTTTTGGCTGGGACCCACACTATGGACCCACACTGGTCCATAACTGTGGGTGATGCAGGAATGTCCAGAAGAAGCCTGAACTTGGAAAACTGTGGGTGAGTATGGAGCACATGATGAAAGACAGTAAGGTGATGGTGTCACAGGTCACTGATCCATTGTGTGTTTGCAGACTCCCAAACGGTGCTTACTGGTGTTACCAGAACCTTTGTTCATCAGAAAAATAATCCAAAAAGTGCCTTTCAGGAAACAGAGCTGGAGTTCAGCTTTCTGGCATGACTGCAGCCTTTGCCACTCTGCCAAAGTAAGTCTCAACATCATCAACTAATACATCCTGAAGCAACTTTAACATTATTTCTTTATTCAGTGTCCTATTCCTCCACCTCAAGAGGTTTGCATATGACCACAACTTCAATATGCAAAAACTCAAGTATAAGGTCAAACTGGACAAGAGGATTGTCCTCAAATCCAAACAGGTGAGAACAAATCTATTTATTGACTGAAATAAATGTGCTGTAGTGAATCTACAGAACAAAGAGTGTATTATGTTCCTTTTATTATGTCTCAAATGTATAATGCTCTTTCTTCAGGACACAGCACAGTTCAATCTGGTGAACGTTATCTCGCATTTTGGACCGTCCACTGATTTAGGTACGATATAAGCTTCTCAGAGATTCTACAGAAAGTACAGCTTTGTTTTGTTGAGTGACTGAAAGTCCATGTCTTGTGTGTTTCGGTCATTACATCAGTGACGGTATGAGATTTCATAACACTTTGAAGCAACTTTTGTTAAAGTTAAACTCATCATTCTATCAATGTGCAGAAGCCAGTACTTTTCCCTTGTTTTGTCTATCTGAAGGCCAAGCTACATGGCACCGTGGCAGCTGCTGATTGGAGGTCTCCATGCCTCCGCTCTGTATAATACACTTGCATTCTATTGTATCTGTGTTCGTGCTCGTGCTGTCTCTACCATCGACAATAAAACATGTCTTCTGTCTGAATTTAAGACGCGATCCCAGACTATGTCATCTTCTTCAACGGGGTGGACCCTGAGGGCGGGCCCCAAGAGCCATGGTTGTCCTACGATGATAGGACTGTGTCCAGGACCGATAGGAAGATGGTGTGTGGCCTCAGGGAGAGGGAGGCCTACATCCTCACCTACCAACGAGAGGGTTTGTAAGGGGGGGGCAACATGAGGGTAGGTGTGGCCTCAGGGAGAGGGAGGCCTACATCCTCACGTCATTAGCAGCACTTATTTACAGTCTCGTTAGCAACACTTGTTTACAGAGAAAGATAACTTAGGCTAGTCCTGGTTTATTCTTGGCTTAGTCCTGGTTTGGTCCTGGTTTTATCCTGGTTTAGCCCTGGTTTAGCCCTGGTCTAGTCCTGGTTTAGTCCTGGTCTAATCCTAGTTTAGTCATGAATTAGTCTTGGTTTAGTCCTGGGTTACTCCTGGTTTAGTCCTCGGTTTAGACCTGATTAAATCCTGGTCTAGTCCTGGTCGAGTCCTGGTCTAGTCCTGGTTGAGTCCTGGTCTAGTCCTGGTCTAGTCCTGGTTTTAGTCCTGGTTTAGTCCTGGTTTAGACCTGGTTTAATCCTGGTCTAGTCCTGGTTGAATCCTGGTTTTAGTCCTGGTCTAGTCTTGATTTAGTCCTGGCTTACTCCTGGTTTAGTCCTGGTTTAGTCCTGGCTTACTCCTGGTTTAGTCCTGGTCTAGTCCTTGTTTAGTCCCGGTTTAGATCTGGTTTATTCATGGTTTTAGTCCTGTTCTAGTCCTGGTTTAGTCCCGGTTTTGTCCTGGTCTAGTCCTGGTTTAGTCCTGGCTTACTCCTGGTTTAGTCCTGGTTTAGCCCTGGTCTAGTCCTGGTATAGTGCTGGCTTAGTCCTGCTTTAGTCCTGGTTTAATCCTGGTTTATTCATAGTCTAGTCCTGGATAAATCCTGCTCTAGTCCTGGTTTGGTCCTGGTATAGTCCTGGTTTTGTCTTGGTTTAATCCTGGTCTGATCCTGGTTTAGTCCTAGTCCTGGTTTAGTCCTAGTCTCTTTGCTCTGATTGGCTTGTGTCCCTGTGACCACTTTGCTGCCCTGTGATTGGTCGCTGCACAGCAACACAAAGTGTGTGTGGTGCAGAACAAAGCTACACACACGTGAACATGATGGGCGACACAGTGGCTGAGTGGATAGTACTCGCGCCTCTCAGAAAGCATTAAAATCATAAATAATCACAGAACATTACCCTACCACTAAAAACATGTACAATAGGTCTGGCATGTGCCTCCTGTTCGGCGACCCCGCTCCCATCTCTGTGTGGAGTGAGAGACAAGTGCCCAAAAATAACAATTGTAAACCGCTTTGTGACTCTGGTCTGTGAAAGGCGGTATATAAAGATTTCTTACTTACTTACATTCTCACATCGTCTTCGTGTTTAAACCAGACAAAACCTGTGACGGACCCAGAGGTCATTTAGTTAAAACACATTTATTTGTGTTTTAAATCTTATTTTATAAACTTTTTAAACTATCAATAAAAAGACACAAAAACAAACTTTGGAGGAATCCATGTTTTCTGTGGATCAAAGATTCCATAAATATAAATGTCCACTTCTTCAGATATCTGTGATTTCTGAAATATTGTCCATTCTCAAAATATGATCCAGAAATCTGGTAAGACCATGTGGAGCACAGTCTGAAGCAGCAGGACCATGTGGAGCACAGTCTGAAGCAGCAGGACCATGTGGAGCACAGTCTGAAGCAGCAGGACCATGTGGAGCTCAGTCTGAAGCAGCAGGACCATGTGGAGCACAGTCTGAAGCAGCAGGACCATGTGGAACACAGTCTGAAGCAGCAGGACCATGTGGAGCACAGTCTGAAGCAGCAAGACCATGTGGAGCACAGTCTGAAGCAGCAGGGACTGAGGAAAACTGTTTATATTTGTTTGTATATTTGTCTGTGTGTCGATGGTTTGTGACAGCAGTTCTTGATATTAGCTCAGAGGAAGCTCAAAACTAGTTTCCATAAATAAAACATCCATCTTCTTCCCCTTAATCCATGTCTGGGTCGGGGTGGCAGTCAGAGCTGCTGTAGATAAACACCATGTGGACAGCGCAGTAGAAACGAGTCGCACAGATTTACACATTTGGGAAATGACCCTTTTAACAATAAAAGCTTTGTTTACAGGAAACTGCTGTGATGCTGTTTTTGACACAACATGTGTTATTTGAACCAACACAGAGGTTATGTTGTGTTGGGTTGTGTTGTCTCAAACTAAACACAGATGTGTTAATGACGTCTCATTTTGCGGTGGCTGAGGATGACCTTCGCTACGAACACTTACTCAGTATATTTTATAACATCCACTGGTCTCAGAACCATGAGAACTGAACGACACACCTGCCGGAGATTGGAAAAACCTCACTATATGAGGTTTTTGAATTAAAGTGGTCCAAACACATAACACATGCTCTTTACATATGGTCAGGGGAAAATCCATGAATGTGGAGTTTTTTCGAAGGTTTGAGCATCCCTGAGGAGGGGTCAGAGGTCAGGGTTTAAGGGATTGTGGTTCCGGCTTAGAGCGTCTGGACCATAGACTATATATATTATCAGACGTAGTCACGCCTGTCTCTGCCGTTCTAACTAATGGGCCAAAAATTGGGCTCTCAGTGATTCAAAATGGCCACGGGGGCTGGAAAATGTGAAAAATCCTCCTTCACTGACGATTTAACCATCAGTGAAGAGAGGACGACACTCACTGTGATTACAACCTGGACCAGGAACAGGCTGAGGAATAATCAGGTTATAAGGAAATGATAACTGAGGAGAGGTTGACGTCGGAGCAAAACTTGTGGTTACACGAGAGAAAAGGAGGCTGTATATGAGTGTGTTCACAGTAAAGTGACAATTGAAGTATCTGGACTTTAAAAGGTTATAACTTAAAAACTAAAATTACTTTCATAGACTGGAAAAAAGATTTCAAACACAGACACATTGAAGAGATAGTGTGGAAAAAATCAAAAGGAAAGATTGACCTAAAAATGTTTAGCAACATTTTAAACGACCAAATGAGCCTCTGATTGGACCATTCTACTCTGACGCCAGTTACATAGGAAATAGAATGTCCTCAGTCTGAAAAAGCAGAAGATGAAATCCCACAAGATTTACATGGTTAACACAACATCAGTAAATGACTTAATTATAAAAAGGAATCGTGAAAAAATAAAAATTAATTAATTAATTAAATTACCCCTGAAAAATGTATAACGGACGTGATGAGGACGGTCCTCTTTTCTCTAAAAATTAAACTTAAGAAAAAAAAAATCTGGTCTGTTTTCACATTTAATTGGTTGACAATATGAAAGTATCACTTTGCATCTACTTTGTGTAAAACAATAGAATCTCTGAATCAAATGTGAACATCTGAAAATACCATCAAACTTCCACAAAGCTCATTCCGTCAAATCATCACGTCCGTTACATAAAATAAACAGGGCCGCTATAGGAAACTTGTCTAATGTATAAAACAGTTATGTTTTAGCAACTTCTAATGAACAGAGGAGGTGTTTGGAAACACGAAAAACATAAAATATCTTCTGATTATTAAAATCTAATTTTTGGCCTTTTGTCACACTTTTGTGCCCTTTAGTGTGACCAAGCCTGTATAGTAAAGATTATGTATAGTAAAGATTATATTTAGTAAAGATTATATTTAGTAAATATTATATATAGTAAAATTTATATATAGTAAATATTATGTATAGTAAACATTATATTTAGTAAAGATAATATATAGTAAAGATTATATATAGTAAAGATTATGTATAGTAAAGATTATGTATAGTAAAGATTATATTTAGTAAAGATAATATATAGTAAAGATTTTATATTGTAAAGATTATGTATAGTAAAGATTATATATAGTAAAGATTATATATAGTAAAGATTATATTTAGTAAAGATTATGTATAGTAAAGATTATATATAGTAAAGATTATATATAGTAAAGATTATGTATAGTAAAGATTATGTATAGTAAAGATTATATATAGTAAAGATTATATATAGTAAAGATTATATATAGTAAAGATTATATATAGTAAAGATTATGTAAAGTAAAGATTATATTTAGTAAAGATTATATTTAGTAAAGATTATATATAGTAAAGATTATGTATAGTAAAGATTATATATAGTAAAGATTATATATAGTAAAGATTATATTTAGTAAAGATTATATTTAGTAAAGATTATATATAGTAAAGATTATATATAGTAAAGATTATATTTAGTAAAGATTATATTTAGTAAAGATTATGTATAGTAAAGATTATATATAGTAAAGATTATATATAGTAACGATTATATTTAGTAAAGATTATATTTAGTAAAGATTATATATAGTAAAGATTATATATAGTAAAGATTATATTTAGTAAAGATTATGTATAGTAAAGATTATATATAGTAAAGATTATGTATAGTAAAGATTATATTTAGTAAAGATTATGTATAGTAAAGATTATATTTAGTAAAGATTATATATAGTAAAGATTATGTATAGTAAAGATTATATATAGTAAAGATTACATTTAGTAAAGATTATATTTAGTAAAGATTATATATAGTAAAGATTATATATAGTAAAGATTATATTTAGTAAAGATTATATTTAGTAAAGATTATGTATAGTAAAGATTATATATAGTAAAGATTATATATAGTAAAGATTATATTTAGTATAGATTATATTTAGTAAATATTATATATAGTAAAGATTATATATAGTAAAGATTATATTTAGTAAAGATTATGTATAGTAAAGATTATATATAGTAAAGATTATGTATAGTAAAGATTATATTTAGTAAAGATTATGTATAGTAAAGATTATATTTAGTAAAGATTATATATAGTAAAGATTATGTATAGTAAAGATTATATATAGTAAAGATTATATTCAGTAAAGATTATATATAGTAAAGATTATATTTAGTAAAGATTATATATTGTAAAGATTATATTTAGTAAAGATTATATATTGTAAAGATTTATATTTAGTAAAGATTATATATAGTAAAGATTATATATAGTAAAGTTTATATATTGTAAAGATTATATTTAGTAAAGATTATATATTGTAAAGATTATATTTAGTAAAGATTATATTTAGTAAAGATTATATTTAGTATAGATTATATATAGTAAAGATTATATTTAGTAAAGATTATATATAGTAAAGAATGCGTGGGGAAATGTCAGTGTTGCGTCACAAATTACAGTGTGGGTGTTAGTGAAGCACAGCCCTGTGCTTTAAATACACATAACATCTCTGTCTTTAGCTTCATCAAGAAACGTTTATAAAAAGTATAAGCTGTGTTCTGTAGTGCACAGTTTATACATGAAGAACATGTTAGCATGTTATACCACTGTACAAGTTAGCATGAAACATATTTTCTTTATTTATCTATTTAAAGAGCCTCTCTCTTATCAAAGACCATGTGTGAATCCTGTGTCAGTCTCAGATAATGTCTCAGATAAAGTCCTGCTTTGTTCTGAGTCCAGATCAAACTGATATGTTCTCAGAGACTGGCATGAACTTTGAGCCTGTGATTCAGAGGCCAAAGAACAACCACAGCAAAACAGTGAAAGACAGTGTTTATTATCCCAGTGTTGTCAGCCTACGCCAGGACAACATGGAGGAGAGCACGGATAATCCTCAAAATGGTTGGTACAATTATATATTATTTGGTTATAGACTTACCTTCAAATGTGGCTGCAAAGATACACGGACATGCAAATGTGATCGAAAAGATTAGAAATGTATTTGTCATTGTTGGTACAACAACACGTGTGATTGCATTGTTGAGCCAAATGATTGGATTCATGGTTTGTTTTTATCTGGTGAATAAATACCATAAAGTTTACGGTATCAGCAGTAAACTTAACAAAACATCAGAGACGTCACAGGCGGCAGTGGCAGAGTGGGTAGTCTCACAGTGAGGTTCGGACCCTTTATGGGCCTGCCCGCCTGGGTCTTTCTGTGTGGAGTTTGATTGTTTCTCCACGTGTCTGGGTGGGTTTCCCCCGGCGCTCCGGTTTCCCCCACCGTCCAAATGAAGGGCCAAATGGAGGATATAATTACTCAATTTGGCACATTTCTATCTGTTAAGGTTTTTAATTCTATTACCCAACAGTAAACGTCTCCATAAACATAACCATCCTCCAATAATAGTTTTGTAACACATTTATTACAAAAAAATGTGTGTAAATGTTCCAATATTCAACTGTAAAAGTAGGTATGGCCCAGTCCTGGTCCCACTGCTGAATGCAAAGGATTGACTTCCAAGGGGTTCCCAAAATTTTCAGGCCGGGACCCATTAAAAACGCGAATTACTCAAAACAATAATCATCTTGTGACTGAAATAGTAAATTACTCTAGATTCTTCCATTTTTTTTCACCGGTGACATCTGCAGCTTACATGTTTGTAGGATATATCATTTGACCACACAATCCTGTAGTATCATTTAAATAACGTTTTTCTTTAAATCAATTGTATATCTAAGGTCCCTTCGCTGTCCCTTCTCACCACCAGTAGTATTCGCTGGAGGAGATGAGTTGGACAGCTGAGGCTCATCAATATTGGTCTATCAAGGATTAGAATTAATTGCTGTGTGGGTGGATCAAAAAAAATCTCTTAAAAAATCTTTAACATATGTAAAATTACTTCTCTTCACTTTAAATTTAAAAATGAAAAATACTGAAAATTGATTGACATTGCGTCCATGTATTGTTAACAGAATTGAAAAGCCGCACGGAGGAGCTGCGTCTTGTTCTTTTTGGTCACGGATGGCTCCAGAAGAGTTTAACCGGAAACACAATTCTTCAACAAAAAATGTTTGACACCGGGCGAGACGTGAAGATGTGCGTCAGGAGGCAGACCCTGAGCCAAGACGGAAAACGAATGATCATGGTCAACACTCCAGACAGATGGCTCCAATACCACGTACAAGACCCCAGTTTAATGAACGACAACATGGCAGAGTGCTTGTCCATGTGTCAACCCGGACCACATGCCTTTCTCATGGTGGTGCCTCTTGGACTGAGCCAAGGCAGAGAGTGGACAGTGGAAGGACCTTTGTCACTGCTCAATGATCACGTATGGAAGAAGACTATTGTCGTATTCACCAGACCTGAAAAGTTAAATGGGATTACAGTAGAAGATTACATCATAGAGAGGCCGTTTCTCAAGCCGCTTCTGGAGCGATGTGGACACAGACACCATCTTTTAGACACCAGCTTTTATGGACACGAGAGTCAAGTGCGAGAGCTACTGGAAAGAATTGGTGCAATGGTGGAGGAGGACACACAGAATTGGGGTTCAACTGAAATGGAGAACAGAGAAAAGGTGGAGGTGAAAGCCAAAGTCAGGCAAAGTGATGTAAGGGCGACAAAAAGTGCGCTGAGATCCCTTTTTGGTGAGTAATGGTCCAGATATTATATTGTTCTTGTTTGAGCCATGAGAACAGAAGAGCCAGCTCAGCACCAACGAGAAAATGACAAACATCTGAGTTGGGAGGGCAGTAAAGATGTGGTGCATAGTAGTTGTTTTGGCTGCCCTAGAAGTAATACAAGAATAAATGGTTTATCCAGTATTTTTTCACATATACATCTAGTCCAGGTGTCCAAACAATGGCCTGATCTTAAAGAGATAGATAGATATAGATATAGATAGATAGAGCTAGCTAGACAGACAGATAGATAGATATAGATATAGATAGATAGATAGAGATAGATATAGATAGATATAGATATAGATAGATAGATAGATAGAGATAGATATAGATAGATAGAGCAAATACATAGATAATTCTAAAAATAGCTTATAATAGTAATAAAATGCAACAGCACTTTAGGTCACAGCAGCAGGGATGGTGTTGGGTGGAGGATTTCCCCAATTTTACCCCCAAATTTTCAGAAAGTAGCGCCCTCTCCACTTTTTCAAAAAAATTCTGGTCTTATTTGACGAGCATGTACCACCAGAACAATTGGGAGAACCATTAGTCTTGATCATCCACCTGTTGGAAGAAAACCCTCCTATATGCCTTTAAATAACCCTTTATTAGGCCCTCAATGCACCTCTGATATGTCTGCATTTGTCTTGTCTGCTGGAGAAATTAGAGTTTTTTGTTGTTTCATGTTTAAATACCAGAAACTATATTTATATAGTTATTGTTCATTTAGCCATTATATGCATTTGCTTCATGCAGCGTGTACAAACAAGACATTCTAGTCCGGTGTATTTATTTGTCATTTTATTCATTTTGTTTAGAAACGCATGCACCAGCTAAAGAGCAACATATTCTGGTCGTCGGTCGAAAGCAAGTGGGAAAGTCTTCTACTTGCAAAACTCTCCTCTGCCAAGCTCAAGTTCACACCAAGAAGATCACAGTAGTGGACACTCCGGGGTGGCATGGCCGGTACTACAGCCACAAAACTCCATCGGAAACACTACAGCAGATTACACAAAGTTTTAAAAACGTGGAACCTAACGCTGTACTTTTGGTATTACGCTGTGACGAGACTTTTACAGAAAGCGATGGTCTAAAAGTGGAAGAACACATGGGTTTGTTGGGCGCCTCTGTGTGGTCAAAGACTATAGTGTTGTTTACATATAAAGATAAACTTGGCAGCACAGCGATTGAAGAACACATAGAGAGGTGGCCTGCTTTGACACGGATAGTGGACAAATGCACAAATAGGTTTCATACTTTGAATAATTTGGACAAAGGAGATCCACTGCAAGTTGTAGAGCTGCTGGGGAAGTTAGAGGAGCTACAAGTGTTCAATGACAATCAGTATCTGCTGCAATGTTACATGAAAGTTCAGGAAAGATACCGAAAAATGGTCAAAAACTGTAAGGCAATCAAAATTCAGCTCAAAACTCAAAAGGGTGAGAATCAGGAATTGAGGAAAAATGTGGAGGAGAAAGATTGCTTGACTAAGAGCTTGACAGATGTGATTTGCATTCATGAAAAGGCTGTTGATGAAGTGAACGGTGAGCTAAGAAGGACAGCTGCGTTGTTGGAAGATGCAGAGAAGGACAAGAACCGACTTAAAAAGTGTCTAAAGGAAAAAGACAGGCTTATATCACGGTTGTCAAGTGAGAAGGAAGAAGCTCGGCAAAGCATAGTAGTAGAAGGAGAAAGGTTTGACAAAAAGCTGAGAGAGATGCTGGAGCTACGAGGTCACATGGAAGCAGAGGCGATTAAGCTACAAGAGGAGAAAAAACGCCTAGAAACCGAAAATGAATGTACCAAAATGATGCTGCATTCAGTGGTGACAGAGGTCCAAAAGCAGTTTAAGAAGAAGCTCAATCTTCAGAGGAAAATGGCAACAGATGTGAGCACTTCAGAGATGCTTTTCAGGCTGGAAAATGATGAAGGTCAGGAAGACAAATGTTGAGTTTATTTTGTGCATGTTGTATGTTCTAATCATTTATTTCCAATACAGATGATCACAGCAGCCAATCACGTGAAGTTGAAAAGAAGGTAAATGTTTGTATGTCTGTGCAGCTCAAGCCATGTTGGTCCGAGAAAAAACCCCAACATTTTTGGTCCTGTTTTGACAAAATAATAAGGCATATCAAACTTACAACTTTTTAGTATAGGCCGTAAAAGGAGTGGACTGACCAAGTGCTGATAGTGTTTGTGTCAAGAAATGTTATGTGTACAGTTTGCTAAATGCAGAAGAGGCCTGCTCTGGGGCCCGAGGGTGCTGCCTGGGGGTCCCAATCCTGGCTCCACATGGGGGAGACGCCTGGTATTCTTTTTCCCCCCGGATTAATCGCCCTCACACAGCGTTAATTCACCTCCATACCCCACCCTGGGCTTAGTGTGACTACACATGCGGGTGAAGCCTGCTCTTGTTGACACCAAGTTTGGTCAGCTTCCCCCAGAATGTGGCCTGGAGGACCAGGGACTAGAGCTTTTCATTGCCAAGGCTGAGCTCAGGTCTCCGCCCCTCCAGACTGGTTTATGGGCCCTGTGTGATGGGGTTGGGCAAATGCTGACCTGACCAGGGCTCTTCATCCAGGTCTGGCCTCTTCCCACATGGTACTATACTGAGCCACTGGTGTGGTCTGTGGGTAAATGACCCCTTCGCTTGTGGGCCTGACTAGACCAGGCTTCTCCCCGGGGAACCAGGGCATAGTCCTTCACAAGGAAGTGTCACGCTCGAAAAATCAAATTGGAAACTGTTGCAAAAAATTTAAAATGTTAAATAACTACTGAGATCTAACATCTAAAATGAAATATTCCTTCACAATGATTCATGACATAGATTGTAAATAAGTTGTTTCTTGACTCTTGCTCCTCAGCCTCAGTCTCCCCTCTCTTCTGGATGGGTGCTGGCTGCAGGAGCTGCCCTGGGAGCTGCTCTGGGTTCTGCGCTCGGAGGTTGGAGGATGGATGGATACAGGCTGAATCTGAGCTCTGCTGCTGGGGCTGCGGCTGCTACTCTGCTGGGGGTCTGCTGGGGGTCTGCCGGCTCGGTCAGGTTTAATGTAAAAAGATATACAGTATGAGTAGAACTGCACAAGCCTAATGCTAAAGTCACAGCTCTTTATCAGTTATGAGTTTACATCTAAACTTGTTGGCTGGACTAGACCATTAAAGTTCTATTCTCTTTTTCTTTACATTAAACTAACTTTTGTTCCAGCACACGCTGCAGAGTGTCCCCGCACGTTCATTCATAGAGACATGACAGTGGGATGTAACATAGGCTACAGGAAGCACTCCTTTGACATAAACACAATAATGCAATGCAGGATTTCTAACACTGATATATTATCTTAAATTCAATTGGTTGCTCTTCCTTATCCCTCCTCCCCATGTCTCTCCTCTGGTTCTGACCTGGAGCTCAGACATGGACTTCCATCGCACTTTGATAAAAAATCCAAGCAATATAAATAAAACGCATTTGTTATGTGTCTAATAAAAAAATGATGAATATGGTAGTAATAAGTTTAAAGGTAAAATAAAGAAGTATGTTACAAAATCCACATTCAAGCGTCTTTCTTCCCTGACGCTGGTTAAATCCCAGTCAAAAAATGTCAAAAGTTCGTCATATTAGATTCCTTCTCTGCCGCTGTCATTGTGACTGTATTTTGACTGAATGCCACATCACTGCACACACCTGAGCACAGGTTGCTTGGTGGTGTCATAAACATTACATAGATTTTTAATATGACTGTGAAAAGGAGTAGCTCTCTGCCGCTTCTGTTGTATAAAAGTAACTCTCTGATTGAAACAGGTTGGAGACCCCTGGTATACAGTATCAAGTATTCTCATTCATTTGTAAACTTTGATTCTACGTCATGGTGCTACGTCCCTTAGGACTTGGCTAGTGGGATATCACTCGTGATATCACTCGTGACCCCCAGGTCACACGCTAACAACATGACTTTCATCACGGGGGCCCTGGATAGGTCGCTCTCCTCTGGCCAGGCGCTCAGTGGAGACCTCCTGTCACAGGCGAGGACCACCTCGGCGGCGATCCTGCGCATGTGCCAGACGCTAGCCGTGGATGGTGGCCCGGACACCGAGGATTCAGTCCGCATGGCCCTGCAGCCCTCCGCATCCGTGTGGCCCGGCACCAGACCTGTCCTTCCCTCCGAGCGGGACAGGACGTCTATGGCTATGCTGGACAGATGTTACGCCAATTCGGCACAGGTCGTCGCTGTGGCGAATAACATGGCCTTCATCACGGGGGCCCTGGATAGGTCGCTCTCTTCTGGCCAGGCGCTCAGTGGAGACACCTTATTACAGGCGAGGACCACTTCAGTGGCGATCCTGCGCATGTGCCAGGCGCTAGCTGTTGATGGCGGCTGCTCCATGGCAGCAGCTCAAGTCGGGGCCAGGCACCTTTGGCTTGGGCTTGCTAACATCAGAGAGGCGGAGAAGAGGCAGCTGCTGGACCTGCCTGTTTCTCAGACGTCCCTCTTCGGTCCGGACATGCAGACCCTGGTGGCTAGACTGGAGACCGCAGCCAAGGACTCGGCTAGCCTAGCCCAGCACCTAGCGCCGAGGCGCGAGGCCCGCCCACCAGCGCGGAGCCGGGACAGAGGCAGGGAGCGTTCGCCCGGGAGGCGCCCTGACCCATATCCACGCTCCGTGGCCTATCGTCCCCCCTCGACGAGCCCCCCGGGTCCAGACAGACCCACGGGAGGCTCGCGGGACCAACGCACCCACCGCCGACCTCCCTATGGCAGAGGAGGTCGGGGTGGGAAGAATTCTTTCAATAAAGGCCGACCGGCATTTCATCATTACTCGCTGTCTGAGTCTCATTTGGGGGTATGTAACATGTCAAATAATCTTGTGAATTCTGATTGTGTTACTTCTCGAGCACATAACGTTGCTTCGCTAGGCCTGCAGCCCCCAGAGCAGGGTTTGCAGTGCGCTACGCGAGCTACGAGCTCCGGTTCTCTGGTTCAGGCTATGCCCTCCCAGAGAGAGGTCAGACGGAGGGATCTGGTGAGTAGTGGTGTGTGTGCTTCGGCCGAACGCGTGTTAGCATCTCTGAGCTACAAGGCTAACACGGGGTTTCCCACTCCAGGGGCTCGCCCCCCCCTCCATGAGGCAAGAGCCGGGGGGGGGGCACAGCAGCCGAGTCACGTGTGATGAGCAGTCCCGTACTTGACGTCGGGCCTGCAGGATACGTGACCGCCCCCGGCGCTCAGGGTGTGACGCAGGGGGCCCCCCGGCCCTTTCGTCCACCCCCCCTCCCTGCTAGGAACACCAGGAGAGGGCGGGGCCGTGACGTCTCGTGTTCCAGCTCCCGTTCCGCCCCTCACAGACTTCTACAGCATCTGGAGGGAGCAGGGTTTGCTGACAGATCTACGGCTGCAGAAAACATTGCGCAGGGGTTACGCACTGCAATTCTTCCGAAAGCCACCACCATTCCGAGGCGTACGGACAGTACGCTCTCAGGTACGGGGATCATTAGAGGCACTGCAAGCGGAGGTCTCTTCTCTGCTGAGTCGAGGCGCGGCAGTGGAGGTAGACCCGCAGGACGCCACCAGGGGGCTGTATTCCCCTTACCTCTTAGTGCCAAAGAAGTCAGGCGGGGTGCGTCCCATTTTGGATCTGCGCGTGTTGAACGAGTGCATTTCCAAACGGCAGTTTCGGATGCTGTCCACAAAGCAGCTCCTCGAGTGTGTCAGGCAGGGAGATTGGATGTCCTCCATAGACCTGACAGATGCGTACTTCCACGTGCCGATAGTGCCGGAACACAGGAGGTTCTGCGCTTCGCAGTGGGAGAGAGGAATTACGAGTACTGCCGTCTCCCCTTCGGCTACGCACTCGCGCCTCTGACTTTTTCCAAATGCGTGGAGGCAGCACTGGAGCCGCTCAGACGCGCAGGGGTAAGAATTTTAACCTACATAGACGACTGGTTAATTCTGGCCTCATCCAGGGAAGTGGCCGTGAGCCACACGCACTGGTTCCTGTCCCACATACAGCGTCTGGGCTTTGTGGTAAGCAGGGAGAAAAGCAAGCTGCAGCCAGCTCAACGCATGATTTATCTCGGTCTGCAGTTAGACTCTGTGACATTCCGTGCTGCATTGTCCGTGGACAGACGGATGAACATTACCCGTCTGGCCAGGGAGGTTCTGACGGGCCCCAGAGTCCCCGCTCGGCGCCTCAGGTCCCTGCTGGGAATGATGGCAGCGGCTCATGCTGTGGTGCGGCTAGGCCTTCGCCACATGAGGAATTTTCAGAGGTGGTTCTCACGCCTCAGGCTTCACCCCTCCCGGGACGGGGGGAGGCTGATCTGGGTTCCCCAAGTGGTAGCATCGGACATCAGGTTCTGGCTCACTCCGGGTCTATTGCGGGACGGAGTGACTCTGGCCTGCGCCGTGTCTCACGTGGAGGTGTTCACGGACGCGTCGCTCGAAGGATGGGGCGGGGTCCTCAGCCAGAGCTCTGTAGGAGGCTGCTGGTTGGACTCAGCCCGTCACATCAACCTGCTGGAGATGGAGGCAGTGCAAAGGGTACTGCTGCACTTTGCTCCTCAGCTGCAGGGGAGACACGTGATGGTGCGCTCAGGCAACACCACAGTGGTCTACTATCTGAACAGGCAGGGGGGCACCAGGTCCCCCGCTCTCCATCGCATGGCGACGGTGACGCTGCTGTGGGCGGCGCTTCACCTCCTGTCTCTCAGGGCGCGCCACGTCCCGGGGGTCCGGAACGTGGGGGCCGACAGGATGTCCAGGGGGGGCCCACTCCAGGACGAGTGGGGCCTGGCCCCACGGGTAGCTGCGGAGATCTGGCGGAGGTTTGGCCGTCCAGTGGTCGACCTTTTTCGCCAGTGCAGAAAACGCACAGTGCCCGTCCTGGTTCGCCTTAAGGGCCGCGGACGAGCCGCCCTTAGGCGTGGACGCTCTGGCTTATTACCCCTGGCCAGGGGGTCTGCTGTACGCTTTCCCACCAGTGCGTCTCCTGCCGGTCCTGCTGCGGAGGATCGAACAGGAGAGGAGGTCGGTGATCCTGGTGGCTCCGGACAGTCCGCATGCCCGGTGGTTCCCCTTCCTGAGGGGCATGGCGGTGATGGAGCCCTGGGCCCTCCCGGACGAGCCGGGGGCTCTAGTCCAGGGGAGAGGAGCCCTGTTTTCACGCCCGATAATCGGCCGCAGGCTCTGGGTTTGGAGGCTGAGAGGCGGAACCTCGTAGACCTGGGTCTTCCCCCTGCGGTGGTGGAGACCACTCAGGGGGCGAGGGCGCCGTCCACTGTGAGGGCCTACGCCACGAGGTGGAGGCTCTTCAGCGACTGGTGCGGTTTCCGTTCCTGGGATCCCAGGCGTTGCCCGCTAGAGGGGGTCCTGGGATTCCTACAGGAGCTCTTTGACAAGGGGAGGGCTGTCGCTACCTTGGCGGTGTTCGCGGCAGCCATTACTTCGGGTCACGACGGATTCGGGGGGTTCACAGCCCGCTCTCATCCGTTGGTTAAACGTTTTCTGCGGGGGGCGCGCAGGAGGAGGCCCCCGCTCCAGAGGACGCCTCCGGTTTGGGACCTCAGGGTGGTCCTTAGGGGGCTGTCGGGTCCGCCTTTTGAACCGGCGGCGGAGGCGAGTCCCGAGTGTGTCGCTTTTAAGACGGCCCTCTTGTTGGCGTTGGCGTCTGCTAAGAGGGCGGGCGACTTGTGTGCGCTCTCTGTCCATGCGTCTTGCCTGTCCTTTGGAGAGGGCGACGGCATGGTGGAATTGTGGCCCAATCCGGCTTTTCTCCCCAAGGTCATCACGTCGGCCTTTAGGTCGAGAGTCATCAGGATTTGGGCTTTCTATCCGCCACCGCATGCCTCCCCCGAGGAGGAGCGGCGGCACCTTCTGTGTCCTGTCAGAATGCTGAGGCATTACCTGGCCATGACGTCGTCATTCAGGTTGGGTGGTCAGCTGTTTGTGTGTCTGGGCCCCAGGAACAGGGGCGCCCCGCTGTCGGCTCAGCGGCTGGCGCACTGGGTCGCCGCGGCGGGCGTATCAGACGCAGGGTCTGGCCCCCCCGGTGGGCTTCAGGTCGTATTCCATGCGTGGGATGGCGGCCTCTACGGCCCTTCTCAGGGGGGCGTCGGTCGAGGACGTCTGCCGTGCGGCTTCTTGGGCGTCGTCCTCCTCTTTCGTCCGGTCCGGTCCGATCTTTTGGATGTGTCGGACCGGTCGGTGGCCCATTCCGTGCTGAGTGCAGCGGACTGAGTTAGACCGTTAGGTCCCTCCTCTGAGGGGGCCTTCGGTTTACTTTCCGCCCTGGTTCAGGAGCTCTTGGGAGAGGCATCCTACAGGTGCGGTACATATTTGTGTGTTTGGTCGGTCAGGTAGTCCACGTCAGGAGCCCTTGGGAGAGGCGTCCTGTGACTACGGATGACCTACATCTGTGTTACGTGGGGGTATCCTTGGTAGGAGTGGCCCTGTAACACGCATTGTTTCTTCTGCCCTGACTCCTCTCACTGTGTGAGGGTCTTGCTCGGGCGGAGCTCCAATCACCCTTCGCTGGCCTGCTGGGAGTACATGTTCCTACGGCCTCCGCGTTGTGTCCCACTAGCGAAGTCCTAAGGGACGTAGCACCATGACGTAGAATTAATAGTTACCTAATGTAACTTAAGTTCTACGAATAGGTGCGTAGTCCCTTAGCTACGAGCCCATCAGGCCAGCCCGGCTTGGCAGAGTTCAAGAGGGGGTGCGGCCTTGTGCAGGGGCATTTATAGAGGAGGGTGGCTGGTGATTGGAGCAAATTATTTTGATCTCTCTGGCGTGTGACCTGGGGGTCACGAGTGATATCCCACTAGCGAAGTCCTAAGGGACTACGCACCTATTCGTAGAACTTAAGTTACATTAGGTAACTATTAATTATAAGATGTTCGTAAATGCTACCATGACTTGCTATGTATTAAAACTACATAAATACATAGTTATATACGTTGAATCAATAACACAAATATAGTAGCACTTGATCTATCAGTCTGCAAGTACGGCCTTTCTTACTTTTTTAACAACCTTTGCACAAGGAAAATATTGGAAAAATCAGAATAAGAAAAAATTTGTAAAAGGTTGTAGCCCGCATCAGTTTGACAACGAGACAATAGAAATGTGTCATACTGTATATTCATGCAATCCAGTGGCACAAGAAACATTTTTTGAGTTAACCTTACTTTAGAGAAGGATTTAACATTTATGTTAGTGCAAACTTTTTCTTTCTAGTGAATTTATGTGAATTCTTGAGTCGTTTCACACAAAACAACTGAGCAATCCTGCTTCTCACTTGTGTCAACTTCAAACCGTAGATCAGAGGATTCAGAATAGGAGCAACAACCATATATTCAATGGCAAAGAAGTTTAGTAATCCTTGTGGTAGAGATTCAGAACCAAATCTAATGTACAGTAAATCAAAGAGCAGAGTACATCCAAACATTGTCAGACAGAATATATGCGGGACACAAGTTTGCATAAACTTACTTCTATTTTCTTTGGATTGTTGACATACTCTTATTACATAGGTAAAAACAATTAACACACTAAGTGTAAAATTGTAATCGAATAAATAGCCGGTGAAAAAAGCCCAAGTGAATAAAAGGTCTCAAGACAGGATCAGTTTAAGGATTTAATATGGCATCAGACATGGTTTTTACACACTGCAACAAAGCAGAAACAAAATGCATATTAACAAAAATTAACAATGAAACTAAAAATGGGAATCAACTGAAACTCACATGACGCATGCTGATCCATAGCCTGGATTGAAATGAAAGGGGAAACAATGGGCTTCCAGGACTTAAAATGGCTGCCTAATTGCACCCAGGTGTGTAGGTGTGGGGGGGCGGAGCCAGCAGAGGGGTGTGGTTGAGGGATTTCTCACAGCCGCCCCCAAAACGGCAGTTTTGTTCCAGAATCCCTCAAACCTCGTCCTTGACTTCTGGGAGGGGTATGAGGCGGGAAACTGGTCGCAGGTAGGTCTGCTGCTTGACCTGGACTTTGGCGGACCGTACACGGCCATCAGCGCTTGGGAAAGTTTCTATCACCTTTCCTACAGGCCAGGAAGATCGAGGTAGTTGAGGGTCGACTACTAGGACCACTTGATCGCATTGGAGATTCTCCTTGTCCACCTTCCACTTTGGTCTGGGCTGTAGATCGGGAAGGTGATAGCGAACGAATCCAGTCCAGAAGTGGTCTGCAAGAATCTGGCTGTGACGCCATCGCCGCTTACCAACAACTTGACTGCTGGCGTACACCGCTTGTGGTAAGGAGGAATCCCGCCGCCCCATCAACAATAAGTTTGGAGTCACAGGGTCTGGATCGGCGACATCAGTGGACACATAACCTAGGGGCTTGGAGTTGACTATTCCCTCTACCTCAATCAGAACGGTTCGCAGAACGGGCTGTGGTACTGATTGGTTGGCCAAGACAACTCGTAGAGCATCTTTAATTGATTTTATCTTCCTTTCCCATAGGCCGCCAAAGTGTGGTGCACTTGGAGGGTTGAAATGAAACATAATTTGCTGTTTCTCCAGTTTCTCTTGGAGCTCTGGGACCATGTCTTTGAATGCCCTCTTCAACTCTGCATACCCTCCACGGAAGTTGGTGCCACAGTCCGCGAAGACCTCATAAGGTTTTCCCCTTCTCGCCACAAAGCGACGTAGGGCCATAAGAAAGGCATCAGCATCCAGGCTTTCGAGGACATCCAAGTGGACACATCGGGTTGTCATACACTTGAAAACAATACCCCAACATTTCTCCGTTCTCCTTCCGACTTTGGTTAGAAAAGGGCCGAAGCAATCTATACCGGTAGACCAGAAGGCCGGTTGGAAAAGCCTGAGTCGGGCAGGAGGTAGGTCCGCCATTTTCGGCATTTCGGGAGAGGCACGCCACTTCTGACATTGCTGACACAGTCGTTGATGTTGACGGACTGCCGAGCGACCCTTGATTATCCAGTATTTACGCCGCAGTTCGGCAAAGAGCTGCTCAGATCCTGGATGTAAGAGCTCCTCATCGTATTTCTGGATCAGAAGTTTTGTGAGGTGGTGGTTTGAGTCCAAAACCACAGGATGTATGACATCTGGGTCCAGGTTAGTAGCCCTTCTCAGCCGCCCTCCAACACGGATGAGTTTCAAAACTGGATCGAATTCGGGGGAAAAGGAACACAGCCTACTTGACGGTAACACAGATTTGCCAGATTGCAGAGCCGTGAATTCGGCTGGAAAGCTTTCCTGCTGTGCTCGTTTCAGGAGAAGGATTTCTGCTTCGATGGCTGGATTGGAGACTGAAGTGCTGTCCAACACCTGGACCGCAGCTGCAATGGCCTCAGTCCACGTAGTGCAGGTGGAAATGTCTATGGCATGGGGCATAGTTTGAGTTGACAGGAGGAGCAGCCGGTTGGTCTTGACTTCGTTGAGGTCCTCTTCCTTCCCCTTGACTGGGCATTGTGGCCAGTGGGTCTGGTCCTGGAATAAGAAGGGTGGCCCCAGACCCCACCGCTGTGGCTGAATAATCTCCAAAAGAGTTTTACCTCGTGTCAAATCATCCGCGGGGTTCAGTGCACTCCCCACATATCTCCAATCCTCAGTGCCGGTCAGCTCCTGTATCTCAGCAATACGTGTACCGACAAAGACTTTGTATCTACAGGAATCAGATTGTATCCATTGCAGCACAGTGGTTGAGTCACTCCAAAGCTGAACTCTCTGAATGGGAAGGTGTATTTCCTTCTGCAACAAGGTAGCGAGTTGAGCACCACTCACTGCTGCACAGAGCTCCAGGCGGGGCATGGAGAGTTGCTTCCGAGGGGCAATCCTGGACCGGGCCATGACAAAGGAGACAGACACCTGGCCAAGATGATCTTCAGATCGAAGGTAAGCTACCGACCCATAAGCCCGCTCAGAAGAGTCACAAAAGACATGAAGCTCTCTTTTAATGCTTGACAGCTCTAGACTAGTCGACTCAAAGCACCGAGGAAAGACAACTTGAGGGAGCAATGCAAGTTCATCATACCAAGAGTTCCATCTATCGGCCAAAGCAGGGTCTACAACAGGATCGTCCCATCCTCTTGGGGAGCTCCACAAGTCTTGCACAAACACCTTGGCCCGGGTGAGAAAGGGAAGAATGTACCCCAAAGGGTCATACTGACTGGCAAGTATGCGATAGACATCTCTCAGAGTTGGACTTGGATTGGCAAAAGAGAGAGCTTTGCATCTGTAACTGAAGACATCAGTACGACAGTTCCATCGCAGACCAAGCGTTGGTTCTTGTGGGTCATTGGTTGTGTGAGAAAGCCACAGGTCACAGGAACTGGAACGAGCGGATTTCGGAAGATTTTCTACTACAGAAGGGTCATTGCTTGCCCATTGTCGGATTTCAAAGCCGCCAGTAAGAAGGAAAGAGCGCAGATCCTCAACAAATCTTTGTGCTGAATCTGCCGAAGGGAAGCTGTGTAGACAGTTATCGACGTAAAATGACTGTTCGACTGCTTTCCGAAGGTTGTTCTCTGGGTCAAGGTGATCTTTGGCATGCCGTTGGAGAGCATAGATCGCAAAACATGGGCTACAAGTGGTACCGAACGGTAAGACCTGCCACTCATAGACTGTCGGTTCATCCGGCTTCAGGTCTCTCCACAAAAACCGGAGTAGGGGGGTGTCTTCAGGGAGCAAACGCACCTGGTGAAACATTGCCTTGATGTCTGCTATAACGGCCACTTGATGCTGTCTGAAACGAAGAAGCACACCAAGTAATGATGGTCCAAGGACTGGACCAGGTAAAAGGCAATCATTCAGGTTTTGGCCCTGGTGACTATAAGAGCAGTTAAACACCAGTCTGTGTTTGCCATTGTGCTGGGACACCACATGATGTGGGAGAAACCAGGATTCTGTGCCAAGAGCCGATTTAGTATCTACTTGGGTTACATAGCCTGCTTCAAGCAACATCTCGATTTCTCTTGAGTGTACTTTGGACAACACAGGGTCTTTCCTAAGCCTATGTTCTGCCCTCAGAAGAACCGGAAGGAAGGAAGCCGGGTCTGAGCAAAGAGAGGGAAACTGAGGGTGGCGTAGCAAAGGAGTGACATACCGCAGCTGGCCATCTACCTCCAGTCTTTGTGTCCTAGAGTCCAAAAGTGCAAGAGCATACTGATCTTGTTTTGATCGGGTCACTTCCTTCTCGTTGTGCCGGGGGAACGTATCCAGCTGCCATAACTTCACCACGTTTTCTCATCACATCATCTGAGAAAGGGGTAGCAGTGAAAAGGCATTGCATGTCTGGGACTGAAGCAGGGTTGACTGAGGAAGGACCTTGAAGAGCCCATCCAAGTGCAGTATGGACACCAGATGGACTGCCTGAAGGACCAAAATTAAAGGTTCAATAGGGACAATGAGATGATGGTGATCAGACCCAAGAAGGACCGTAGGCTGAACCCCATCAAGAATTGGCAATGGCAAGTCTCTCAAATGTTCATAGCGCTTCTGCAATGCTGCAGTAGGGCAAGAATGCTTCATCAAATTCAAAACATCAGCGGTGAAAGCATTCTTCACTTTATACGTGGTGGACTTGTCATCAATTGGTGAAATGGAAAAGCTTACTCTTGTGCCCTGCACTTGAAGAACATCATGACGCACAGTCTGAAGGTTTAGGGTTTCTGACTGGCCTGAAAGACAGAGTGCTTCTACAGCTGAAGGCAGAATAATGGAACGTTCTGACCCGTCATCCAAGATGGCATAAGACTCAAATTGGAAGTCACCATTATGAAGAACAACAGGAACCACTTTGAGAATGACACGTGCAGAACGATTTGGACGGTCAAGATAAAGGTCAGGATTGGGCATGCTCACCATGAGACACGACTGGCCGACGGGAGTCAAAGTGTCGTGCAGAATTGTCAAGTGAAGCTGGCTGCACACTCCGCATGGCCTCTTCAGTGTACAAGCCTCCGGAGGGTGAGTTCTACAGCACTTCCAACAGCGTCTGTTTTCACGGATCCAAGAGCGCCTCTCCTCCACCGTCAGCTTGGCAAACTTCTGGCAACCATTGAGAAAGTGTTCATGAGTGTTACAGAAAGGACAATAGGGTTGGAATTTTGCCTTCTTTGGATGCTTCTCCACAGGGTTGAGGGAAACATTCTGCCTCGGAGCCGCCTTTGTCTCGGTTGACAAATACATGGTAGCTGGCCTATCAAACTCCCGTGGTGGAGGTTTGGGATTGGTTCGTACCTCCCTCCTGTCCCACTCAGCAGCAAAAGTTGTGTTGTGAGACAAGCGGCGAGCACGAGCTTTAACCTGCAACCACACAGACAAATCATTCAACGTATAAGTCTGCAAAACACCATCCTGCAAGATACCCCTCTGAATACAATGTTCAACAAAGGAATCACGATAATTAGATGGTAATTTGCTCAGAAGCCTGTCCACATGCGATCCACAGCTTACTTCTGTACCATCCCTTCCTTCTATCGAGATAAGTAGTCCGACCAGAGACTGTACAGCCAGAGCAAACTCTTCGAACGCAGCCACATCATTTGCTTTAACAGACGCAGAGTTGAGAATGCGCGCTATCTCACTCTGTATCAAGTGACGTGGCTGCCCGTATCGTGAAGTCAATGCATGCATGGCTGAGGTGTATGGCTGAGGATGATGAATGTGAGCTCTGGCCAGTTGGTAAGCAGGTGGATGCTTGAGTCTCTCAAGTAGGATCTGGTACTTATACTGCTCGGATAAATGAGGGTGGTTCCCGAGTAAGCTGTCAAAGGCCATCTTTAATAACAAAAAGTCACTTTCCTTGCCGGTGTCAAATCGAGGGAGCTGCGGCTTTGGGATGCCGTAGGTCGTTGCTATCAACAGTTCAGTCATATTCGGGGAATAACCAGCATTTACAGGGACTTGTATCGGAGGAGCTGATGGGACAGAATGGGACAGAGATGAAGCTGAGGAAGTGGAGGCCATGTCTGCTTCTGGACTAGGCTGGAGCGGAGCCGGCGGCTGGAGCGGAGCCGGCGGCTGGAGCGGAGCCGGCGGCTGGAGCGGAGCCGGCGGCTGGAGCGGAGCCGGCTGAGGCGCAGGCTGAGGCGCAGGCTGAGGCGCAGGCTGAGGCGCAGGCTGAGGCGCAGGCTGAGGCGCAGGCTGAGGCGCAGGCTGAGGCGCAGGCTGAGGCGCAGGAGGCTGCAGACGGACAGGCTGAGGCGCAGGAGGCTGCAGACGGACAGGCTGAGGCGCAGGAGGCTGCAGACGGACAGGCTGAGGCGCAGGAGGCTGCAGACGGACAGGCTGAGGCGTTTCATGCAGACTGAGTCCCGACGCTAACATGGCGCTCTCTGGTCGTAGATTGGTGCTGGACCGAAGCATAGGACTAGGATATTTCAGAAGCTGGGACACCATCCTTGCCTCCTCATAATCTCTCTCTGCCTGGCGTATGCGTCTGGCTCGAGTCAAACTGTTAGATAAATTCTCACGGGCCATGGAAGCTTCTCTGGCCTGTGTATCCATGCGGCGTAGACACTCCTCACATGCCTTTTCTTCCTCTTGCTGCTGACGATGGAGTTCATCCAACTCCATGTGTCTGAGCCTCTCCTCCACCTGGGCCAGCTCTGATTGGTCAAGGGATTCTTTTAACGCATCCATTGGTCTCCGACTGCGTTTAGAAAATGTGCTTCCATCAGACAGTGACTCCGCAATATCAGACTGGGAATGTGCGTCATATTGTTTTGGCAACAGACTGACCTCATAGTCTTTGAAATGTGCCGACACCCCATTGATGGCTCAATTTCTGTGAGCAGAGCTTTCACCACCGCGTTGCTAGTGCGTATTTACATGCAAATACTTCAGTCCATTTGGACCAGAGGATCCACCAGAACCAGACAGACAGTTATTTCTTACCTTGGCATGGTGCATGAGAGCGGGCATGGCAGCCTAAGGAAACATTTGGAACTTACCGGGTCTGTGCCAAAGGTTTGGCAGAACCTCATTGTGTGTAATTAAAGTTACACATCCCTCCTTTTCAGGCATGGGCTCGCATGTGGCTAAAGCACAAAGTCTCTGAAGAAATGCTGTGGCAAACCCGGTTTGAGGTTACCCACCACCCACCAAGGCCATTTTTCGCCCACAGCTCCATCTCGTCGAGTACCAGTGCCTCAATGGGCAGACAGGGTAGCCTTGTCTGCCTTGTCAATTCGCACCGTCTGCTGAATGGTGGTGGGGCAAACAATATAAAAATCAGAACACACAACATAACAGACTCGGTTGTAAAATTGTCGACACTCGTATGTTCTCACACTTCCAGCAGCCGGTCTGTACCTGTGGAATCCTGCTCCAAAAGAAACAGCAACGGTTCGTTAGTTTCAAGTTATTCAAATGAAACAATGGTGTGTTATGTGTCAGTTTGTTAGTGGTTAGTTGTCATTAAATGCACTGCTCAGCCTGTTGAAAAAAAGGAAAAGCAAGAATCTATCCAGAATTTATCCAGCGGACACAGTTATCCTGTGTCCGCTGCGGGTCGTGTTTGTGGTCATCTGCCTGTAAATAAATGACCAGAAACGCACATCAAATATACACACACACACAACGATCAACTGGGACACACAATGACATCAACACAAACAAAAACGCTTGCGCAGTAAGTTGTCAGGTCAGGTCAGAAAGTCATTGTAAAAAAAAAAAAATGTTTGTTCAGGCCATCAAATTTCATATCTTTTCATATCTTTCAGCCCAGAATTTGTTGAGCGCTCTTATTTTGAAAGCGTGATCGTCTTTCATCCGTTCCACTAGTGGAGAAAAATAAGACACCACCGCAGTGCAAAAAGGAAAAATAAATAAATCAAAATGTCAAAAACCACAACCCCAAAACTACGTAAAAAGTAAATTCAAAAGCATTAAAACAATAAGGACCTGAGTGACCAACGTCATGCACTATTGTGATTGGCTTTTTGCCCCACAAGAGTGTGATAAAAATAAGTCCCATTTTGATTTCACCATGTTGATTGTTCATTCTTTGTTTAATTCAGTTTAGAAGATCAGCTTTGGCCAGCCAATTTAGAAAATAAAAAAATTGTTTCAACCCTCTGATCATGTTGAATTTAGGTATGCATTTTGGCATCTGTCCATCAGATTATGAAACAGATCTCCGTTGGGATAAAATTTTTAACCCTTCACACCGTTTGTTAGGGTTTATCTCTTTGTTTTTGTTTTTTGCTTTTATGCAAACTTGGTGGAGAGTCAAAGGCACTAAAACACAAGATTCAAACCAGCATGTAACTCCTTAATGTACGGTTTCATTCAACCCAAACAAGTGGCAGAAATCCAAAAAGCCACTCCAATTTTATCAGGCCTATTCAAAATCCTTCAGTGGGACCGTGTGCAGCCCCGGCGTGGTCGCTGCACACGGCGCTGGCAGCATGACCCCCGCCCCCCGTGGGGCTGAAGTGATGCTGTCAGGGCCAGAACACACATTTCTTCCTGCGGCCAGAGAACCATAAAAAAAAATAAAAAGGGCTTCTCCATGCGTTTGCATTTCTGGAGAACCACGAGTGTCCATCTTGGACCTGTGTCCAGCCTCCAGCACTGCTACACTTATTAATACATGCAGGGACCTCCCTCCACGCTGCAGACGTGGGCTCGGACAAAACCGTGTGCAAAGTGGAGCACAGTGGGTCGATAAACACGTTAGGTAATACCGCGGAGTCGTGCCTATCCCAATAAACGTACTCCGTTAGCCTATCTTCACTACACTGAAGCCTTGAGTTTTGTGAAGCGACCACTCATTTGAGAAAGGACCAAAATCTGTCACCTTATGTTTTGTTTTTAACACAGGATTTGTTGTCCCTGAATCATCCAGAATTTTAACTTTTACACCACAGATTGTTAGCGTATATTACGGGAATTCAGCATGAATTATCTCTAAAAAGTGCCAATTGCAATTTGTTCTTGTTCAAACTTACGTGACATGAGCGGTCGCTTTGGTGACGAATGTGAACCCGGGTTTGATCAGTCGCTCGTGTTTCCTCCACGCCCGCCTCTGCCGTCCTCTGGCCCCGTGTGAGCTTGAGAGGTCCTCTGCCTTTAACGCCTCCTCCGGTAACAGTCCTTCGACACATGTCGAGCACACAGTCTTTCCGCCGGGCTGTGGAAAAGCTGCCGCCAGTCCGTGCTTAAGTTTCTCAAAGTCCGCAGGAGGCCCAGGTAGCCCAAAGCGTTCAAATAACGTTAGCCTGTGGTCCATGAGGGTTGGTTAATAACCAAACGTGCCGGTCCCAATGGCTTCTTCTGTTTGCGGTGCGGGGGCAACTTTCAACGGGGTTTCAGCGGGTGCGTTTGGTGTTTCACGCTGCCGCCTCCGTGGGGCAACAGTCACGGGATTTGGAGCAGTTTGTCTCTGGCCTCCAAAGCAGTTGTCGGTGTCTCACATAATGTGTCCACGGAGTGAGTCGTGAGCTTCGGTTTCCTGAGCGTGTATCTGCTTCCGCCGCTTCTTCTTCTGCTCCCGGGTTTGGGCCCCCACTTCTCGCGGGGTTTCAGCTGGTGCGAGAGACTCTGTGAGTCGCCGCCGTGGTTGGGGCGTGGGGGCTGGGGCTTTGAGGCGGAGGGCAGGGCGCGGAGGAAAGCGCCGACAGACCTGGACAGGGAGAGGAAAAAGGGGACAACAGTAGTCTGCTCATTTTTTAAAAACCCAACGCCTTGTTTGGGTGCGCACTTATTGTTAGTAGGGGAGTTTGGGGAATATTTCTCGGGGCTGGTCGCCTTACGCGTTCGCCTGTGTGTTCTCCGCTTCGGTGAAAAGCGGAGGAGCTATTGTTTTTACATATTTCTTTCTCTAACGTCTTTTGCCGTGATATTCTTAAAACCAAGTAATATTTCCCTTCCTTCTTATAATTTTCACGCAAGACGCGTAATCGATTGAAGGACATAAAAAAAAAAAAAAAAAAAAAAAAAACCTCCCTCCGGAAGATCCGAATGAGCAGCACATAATTTGCAACCGCTTTTCCATTGCCATTGTTACGGGACGTCTGAATCCCTTTCTAGTGTACTTCCCTCCATTTTCTCTTAAAGAACAAATGGATCTAGCCCGCTTAGTCTCTCCCTGCTCTTCCTCACTCTGGAGCGATCCGTTCCCCCCCCGTTAGTTCAATACACCTAACGGGCACGCATTCTTGAAACGGACCGGGCCCGGCTGAAGGCACAAAGAGTTTCAGGGTTGCTTACAGAGCAATACTAACATGCAGCCGCTAGCTTAAATCTCATACCCTACACAAATGGCAATGAACAAAATACCCCAAAATACGTAAATAAATCAAATACCCGTGTACACTTAAGCGCTGCCCTGGGCTTTACATGTTTGAAAAGACAAAACTCACCACAAATCAGGTTCTTTTTGGTCTTGTGTGGCCAAAGATTCTTTTCATGCGCCGGACGAGCGCGCCCTCCTTTGCAATTTCCATCCAATTCAGTCCAAATTATGTCCAAATTCAGAAATCCAGATTGTTCCAAATTATGTCCAAATTGTGTAATCCAATTTTTCCAAATGGTGTCCATGCAAAAGAGGACGATGGTATTGTCCATGTCTCAGCAGCTCACAGCCTGACTGGAGTCAGGGGCTGTGCAGATTGTCCATGTGTGCTGGTCCAGATGCATTCTCTTGAGGTTTCTCAGTTTTGGCTTGGAAAAAAAAAACACTTTTTGTGTAAAAAAAAAAAGTGTGATAACTGTACATTATCAGCAGTATGTTTACAACTGTATATTGGCAGCTGTGCACATTCTAGTATAGGGTAAGGATATTGCAACGATGCGAGAATGACACTGGAATCAAGTTGGCAGTGTTCATTAGGCCGAGCCAATACGTAGTATTGGGGAGGCCTATTGTTATTCGTTGGTTTCATATTATTCTTTTTCCGCCGAAACAATTTGATTTTTGAACCAGAAGACATGCACGAAAGTCTGCACATGGGGGGTTTAAAACGACCGGTTCGGCGAAACATTTGATAAAACGGACGTTTTGAGATTGTCCGACAAAAGGCGAATCAATAGCGCCCCCTTGAAAATTCAAAATTTGCCATTTCTATTGGAGGCAGGATTGCATATTTTGGAGTAGGTACACAAAATTCGGATGAGTGATAGATCTCTATGAGACGAGCATAAAAGCCGGTCTAAGCACATGTCTGGGACCAACAGGAAGTCGGCCATGATGGGCCGAAGTTTCGCCGCCAATTTGACTTTTGTCAGTGTAATCTCTGGACCGAGACGAGCATCACATTACATTACGCAAAAGTTGTAAGTCCTACACCTGACCACTGGGGGCGCCAGAAAGTGAATTAATGAGCTTTTTGGGGCAAAATGTTTGTCCGATGAGGCTAAAAATGAATTCAGCAATACAGCGTATGACCCTGAACACAACGATATACAACACACAACTGTGACTGCAACAGCGCCACCTACAGGCAGTTCAAGGTGTCGCATTTTTGGCTACGTACTAGTCCTTGGATTTTCATCGCACAGACTTCTACCATGTCATTTCTCCATCTGGATGGATTGAAGTTATGCAATCATCGCAAAAAAGTTAGATTTTTGTTATCGTTTTCATGCGAGGTAGTGGGGAATTTCTCCATGTTTGATGCTCTCCTGACCACAGGCTC